GGACACGCCTACGGCCTCGCCGCCCTCGTGTCTATTATCCCTCAACGACCTCTCTACGTTTCGTACGACGTCTCTGCGAAGGTCTTCGACATGGCGACTCAGCTTCTCAAACGTGCAGGAGAACACGATCTCAAGATTGCTGGAGTCGAAGTTGAAGTGGCGTGGACGCTGATCGCGTCTCTCATGGCATTGGGTCCAAATTTTGTCCGACCACACCTGCCGCAACTCCTCGTACTGTGGAGGAACGCTCTTCCGAAACCGACGAGCAAGGATGCGGCAGCTGGTGCAGGCAGGAGCGTACACGAATGGGTGTTTCTTCTTCATGTCCGAGAAACAGCTTTGGGGTCTATGCTTTCGTTCCTTCGTAACAATGCCGTCATCTCCGGTGCAGGTGCAGGATTGATTACCTTAGACGTAGCCCGCCGAATTGCCTCTCTCCTCTCCAACGCCCTCTCCTTCGCAAACAACTTCATCTCAGTAGGCGTCGAAGACCCTCTCGAAACACAACCTCCCATCCCCGGCGCCCCTCGACGTAAAGGACCTACCTTACGAGAACGCGAAGCCCTTCTCCGCCGACGTGTCCATCAATGTTTTACTGCCCTAGGATTCTCCTCCATCCCTGACCAGACGCAAACGGTGCTCTTGCAGAGTGCTGTGTCATTGTTTGCGAGCCCTGATGCGGGCGGATACGCTTATGCCCCACCCGGATCGGCGGTACAAGCTGCGATTGCGAGTTCTTCGGGCAGTTTTACGAGTGTATGGGCAACGGCGGATGGATATGCTTATGGTGTAACGGGCGAAGAGATCGTGGATATGGGTGGGTTGGAGAGGGGTGGGTTGGATAGTGCGCAGGGTGTTAGTGGCGAGGGCGGGGATTATCTGAATAGGGATACCGTCGAGGTTGCACTCGATACACTGGTATGCATTTTTCTCCATTTTCGTGAACCTAATTGACGCTAATGCCTTTTAGAACCGGAAACCCATCCTCGGCGCGGTCGAACACGACCCACTCTCGTTATGTCACGCCAAGATATCAGAAGCCGAGTACGAGCTGAGCGAACCGCCACCACCCGCCACAGCCGTTGTCGATACCGCCATTGAGCTTTTCTCTCGCCTCCTTCCCTTGCAGGATCTTCAGGCAACGCAGAAGATCATTGCATTGCTTGTTGAGTCTGTTCGTTCGCCGAAGCTAGAGAAGAACGCTGGAAGGAAGGCGGCAGTGTTCGTAAACGCGACGGTTGCACTGGTGTTGACGTTGCGATACGCCTCGGCAACGAACTTTAGGCAGGCAAGGGATACATTTGGGAATGGGCAGATTACGAGTTTGTTGTCGCCGTTCTTGATGGTGTGCTAACATTCTCTATATACTGTCGCAGCGAATTTCACATACTAAATTGTGTTTTCAGGAAGCAATTGTCGACGGAGACCTGGTTCTACGATCAGCAGCGAGTGAATCTATCGGTCGACTCGCAAGCTTATCCGGAACCAACTTTCTTACGGGTCAGATCAAGGATCTTGTCGATCAAGTTGTGAACAATCGCAATCCGAATGGTCGTGCAGGTTGTGCCCTGACATTCGGCGCAATATACAGTCACGTTGGTGGTCTCGCGGCAGGACCGCTACTCAAGACCACCGTCAACGTTCTCATGTCACTCATCAACGACCCCCATCCAACCGTACACTTCTGGGCTCTCAATGCTCTTGCCCGTGTTATCAACGCTGCAAGCTTGGCCTATGCACCATTCGTCTCGAGCACTCTCGGAATGTTGCTCAGGGTTTACCTGACGGAATCGCATGAACGAGAAGGCGGAAATCTATCGAATGCGAACACTAGTGGCGACTTTCCTGCGTACCCGATAGCATGTCAAATCATCGATTCCGTCATCACAGTACTCGGGCCAGATATCCAGGAGTCTTCAAGGACGCGGGCATTGGTGCAGAGTCTCGTCCACGAGTTCTCTTTGGAGGAAGATGAGGGCATATGTGTTGAGGCGATCAAATGCATCCAGCACTTCCTCATGTTCGCTCCAGAGCACGCCAACATCCCAGACCTTGTCAAACGGTTCAGGAGTCATTTATCATCTTTACGCCGACCACTTAAGCTCGCCTCGATCAACGCCCTTTACCAACTCGTCCAGAAAGATGCCTTATCGATGTCGAAACTCGGAGGCGATAGACTGGTTGAGGACCTCTTCGGCATGTTAGACGACGATTCCTCGGTGCAAGGCGTGCGCAACGTCATCTCCAGCTGGCTGCAGCAGACCGTTATCTACAACCCATCAGCATGGATTGACCTATGCCAACGCATCATGGCACGTACGACGGCGTCACAACAAGTCGCTGACGCGGCTTCTCGCCAGAACCTGAAGGATGATGAGGGCGAATCATTGAACGTTGGGTTGTCACAAGATTCATCGAGTGGAGGACGGAGTAGACTTACATCGCGATGGCGAACACAGCTATTTGCTTTGCAGTGTCTGCACGACATCTGTATGATCGTGGCCAACAGCGGTCGCAGAGAACACCTCAACGCTATCATCGCCCGCACACAGGGTATACCTTCGTCAGGTCTCCTTCTCTCGAGGGTGGCCGATTTGATTAAGATGGCATTTACGGCGTCGACTGCTTACGTCACCGAGATTCGGTTGGCAGGTTTAGTTGTGCTCAAAGACGTGATTGAGGTACGATATGCTCTTCAGAGTCATGCTCATACGCATGTTGACTGACTTGGTTTTCAGATCTTCGCCGCAACTCCTGATCCGGCATATGAAGATGCCCTCCTCCTCGAGCAACATCAAGCGCCAATAACTGCTGCTCTTACCCCAGCGTTCTCGTCCGATTCAACGCCGGAGATTCTCGCGTCAGCAGTAGATGCATGCGCTGTTTTCGTAGGATGCGGAGTAGTGAAGGATGTTGGACGAATGGGTCGGATCCTGAAGCTGCTGACTACGGCATTGGACCAGTCGAAAGGTACTGGACCCCTGTCTCCATGTGGTCGTCAATGTTCTCATTCTTCGCTCGATCCAGACGCAGGGATGCTATCTCTTGGAGAAACTGGGGAGCTGAGCCCGAATGCTTCCGCCATGCTCAGAATTTCGACGTTATCTGCCTGGGCACAGTTACAAGTGTCCAGCAGCCAGCAGACCTACCTTGAGAACGTCGTCAAGCCTTATCGTTCGACACTCTGTTCGTTGTGGATAGCCTCTCTACGCGACTACGCTAGCATTCGCATTGACTCCGAGTTCCTACACGACACATCCTCTGTCGCTCTGGACTCATCCTACTCCAGTCTTGGAAAGGAGGTGTTACTTCCGGTATGATACATCTACACCTACGCTTCGCTTCCTTCTCATTTTCCGCTTTAGTACTATTCCATGTCATGGGCCACGATCCTCCAGGCTGTCGCTACCACCATGCAGACAGGGGATCCTTTCATCTTAGCTGCTATGGATGGAAAGGAGGTGGCCGACAAGGGCAAGGATCTCATTCCTACGAACGAGAGAAAGGAACCAACCGCTTTCTTCTTTATCATTTTCGGCCTCGTTTACGAAGCACTGGCGACTTCATCAGCAGAGGCATCGTCGTCGGCGACTCTTCGTCACTCTGGCGTCCTCGCGGCTCTACAAGCATTGAAATGTCTCGTTCGTCCCCAATACTCGGGTTCAGCCATCATGGAACCCACGATTTTCGAAGAGTTCATCAGCCTTTGCTATCGTATGGGTATGACAGAATCGCCAGCAATCCAAGTTCATCTCGTTGAAATGCTTGCCATTTTCGCTGCGACGCAATCATCATCGGCCGGATCAGATGTTCTTACCTTGACCTCTCCGCCGGCGCATTGCCTGCGCATTTGCTCGCATATTCTGAAGCAGTCGACCTCTGCTCGGGCGAGCCTCGCTCGTAAGTGATCCTACGCCGTCATACCCTTCAACCCAACAATTGTACCTTCTTTACACAGCAGCTCAACTGTCAGATCGGATTGCTCTTATATCAGCCGCTCTATCTGCATTTGCTTCCATCGCGGGATCTATTACTTCTACTCAGAGGGAGGATGTTCGTGCCGTCGCGATCTTACTCTATGCTGGTAATTTCTCACCTATGAACCTCACATTGCCCTCTCTCATTGTTGCTAGATATGCTGAAGGATGAGACCTCAGAAGTTGACTTGGTCTCGCCCACACTTCCATCACTGAAACTCTTGCTTGACCTTCCGGTTTCGCAAGGGCCAGACGACAAGGACAGATACAGTCGACTCATACATGCTTTGCTTTCCGCGTGCCTCCTCAATATAGACAGTATGCGGTTAGTGTTTCCTGTGGTTGACTACGGAGTCGAACACTGATTAGAGCCCTCCTGCAGAGGTCGGCGAGGGGCCATATCCACAAAAAAGATGAAGACCAACATGTTGGCGTTGGTCCTGATTCTAACAATCATCGCGCCTTGGGTCAAGATCGGAAGGGCGGTCGTTGAGCATGCATGCTTCCTGATTTCGCAGAAGCTTTCGGATGCAGACGAGGTACGTCTGCTGACGACTCTACTTCATGATGTATCTCACGTCTTCCAGACTTCTTTGACAGCAGCCCACTGCTCTAAGACCCTTGTCCTTGCTTCTTCGACTGGCAGCCCCATTCTTCGACAATGTGCTCGACTTCTCCTCCCCGGTCTTATCGAATTTGTTGCCAAAGTCGCGCCGGCCGTCCATGAAGGAAGTGTTTCAGAGACGCAGGCTGCTGCAATAAGCGAGGTTTGGAAAGCATTTGCGGCCCTTTTCACCTCCACTGCGGAAGATCTCAGTAAGAGATAAACCTGTCATCATGGATATCCACTAACTCTTGCACAGGGTCAAGGCTGTTGGGCATTCTGTTGCCGACTATCTCGCTCTTACTGTCGAGTACTACGCCGTTGCAGCCGACCGCCGCGTCCGTCACGAACCAGACCGTTACCCAACTTCTCTCGTTCGCCACAACCTCGCCTCAAGCATTCAAGGAAGCAGCAGAAAAGCTTGACGCCTCAACTCGCGAGCTGTTGGAGCAATCCATCCGTCGGGCCGTTGGTGGAGCAGCACCATCTGCAGCTCAAGCAGCAACTAAACCTCAGATATCACTTCGTTCGTTCTGAGCAGATAACTACGATTACCGCGACCGTCTGCATTTTTGTATGAATTTCTTCCCTTATTTATGAATCTACTGCAAAACTTCGCTGTCATCCGCGTCTTAGGTAGGAAATGACTCACTGTCGGATATAGCAATTATCTGATTCTATGCATCAAAGACGGTTTGGAAGATCGGTGTTGCGACTTTGGACTCTCATGCACATGCTCCGCCCACTGCGGACTGCGAAGGCTACCGGAAGTCGTAGGCCATTCAGTGCGTGATTAACAGTATCTCCACCTTCCCCCCATATATTTCCGTGACCGGACTTGAAGGTGCCGGCCGTGGTATCGATGTCTACACATTGAACCTTTCGTTCTGACAGATCAATCATTCAGTTGTAGAGTAACAGTTCCGTTTGTTCGGCTCAAAGCCTTCTGGTCACTATCACCTCCACCAAACAAGGAGTGCAACGTTGCCGGCACCCACTTCGCATCTCACACGTCCACACCAATGCCAGGCCCTGCTGTTCTGAGTGAAGCCATAGGGATTGTTGGAGCTGGAGTTGCAGGACTCATCAGTGCGCATGTCCTTCTGAAAGACGGGTTCACCGACATTACTCTCATTTCGAGAGACAAATCAGTGGGTGGGACCTGGGCTCGCCACCGGGTGTATCCTGGTTTATACATAAACAAGTACGTCGTATTCTGGCTTTATGACATCTGAGCTCTTACTTATATCTTTGTAGTGTTCATGGCGAATATCGTCTCTCTGGTCTTGAGATGCCCCTACCAGAAAATGCCGCGAGAGTTGGTGGGCGGCTTTCAGGTACCGATATGTGCGAGTACATGGAGAAATACAGTGCGACATTTCTAGAGGGCAAAGTAAAGTTCATGCTGCAGACGGAGGTGCTTGATATTTCACGAAATGCAGAGGGCAAATGGAGTGTACGAGTTGAGAACGCCCAATCCCGCGCGAGGGAAGTTCTGGCCTTTTCTCGCATAATTTTGGCGACTGGGGTACGTCATGATAACTAGGCAACCTCTATCTCCTGACGCCCTCCTCCTAGGGATGTAGTAACCCTAAAATACCTGCAGAGTTGTCCCCGAGAGCAGCTGAGGATACCGGCTACAAGGGATTGGTGATCCACTCTTCCCAATTTGCTTCACGTCTGGACGACATCCTGGCTGCTGTCAAGCCTCGAGAAAGTGAAGATACAGATGACGAGGAACGCGTTTTGGTCATAGGAGGCGGTAAATCATCGCAGGAGTGCGTTGGTGCGGTCATTCTCTCATTTGAGCTATAAACTAATTTCGTCTCACGATAGCATATGCACCAAGCTGGCTATTGAAGGCAGAAAGGTCACAATGGTCTTTGACACAACCGACGTCTTCCTCGGTACGGCATCCCCTCTTCCGGATTTCCTTCGTAAGAGCAGGTATGCCCAAATTGTCGAGTATGATAAGCATCTCAATGTTTGGCCACAGGTTTCTTGCCGTGTTATCTGGCTATTGCTCCCTCAACACCCGTCTCGAGTAAAGTGTGTCCCCATTTCTCGAGCGCTTCATCTAAAAACGCGCCTTTCCAGACGGTTCCTACACACAACTTCGATCGGCAGTGCGATTAATCATTTTATCTGGCGGAAACTTGGGGAGTCCTCCGTCAGTCATTTTCCATCCGTTCTCTTCAAAGCTTCATCAATTAATTAGTGTCCTTTCTTTGTCTAGTTTGACGCCTTCCAAGTTCCCCAGAATTCGCCACTGCGAAGAACCCATCCTATGTTCTGGGGGATTCGCCTGAGCGACGATGGGAATTATCGTCCGGACTGCTTCCATGCGCTCGTTAACACCGGTGCCATTGACATTATTTCGCCGGCTCGGGTCGAGGGATATTCTAAAGATGGAAAATCTCTCGTTGTGAGCGACGGCACGATTGTTTCGCCCAAGGCCGTCCTCCTCGCGACTGGGTATCAGTCCTCCTGGTCGGATATATTCGCTAGTAAGTATTACGGCTTATCAGTCTCCGTAATCGCGAAATCGATCCTCTACCCTCTAGCCAAGATGGCTGAGGAATTGGGAATCAACCGGCATGCGCCACACACCACGATTGAAGCCACTTGGGATAACTATAAATCTCTCAAGAACCCGCCTGCGCTGAAGCCAGAGCATAAACTATGGACTACCTCGATCTATCGTGGTATTGTTCCTGCAAAAAATATCGAACGACGTGACTTCGCCATTGCAGGAGCGCTGGTGCGTCCTTGGGGCTAATGCCATTTTGAATTCTGTTCATGCTGTTCCTCAGTTTAGTGCTAACCTGGGATACACCAATGAAGTCGTCGCTCACTGGATAGCTTCGTATTTCCGCGGTGATAAGATGCATCTGCCCACTTCCGCTGAAGAAGCAATAGCGAAGGCGGAAGAGAAGGCTCACTGGATGAAAGTTCGCTTCCCGGATATGGTATCATGGGTGAATGAAAGTTATAGCACTAGCTTCGACTTCTGGAGGTGCGATTCATCGTTCTGTTTCAGCAAAATCTGCTAATTCTTGTCGATGAGTTATAGTTGGCCTCAAGCCGCTGATGAGCTGTTGAACGACATGTATCTTCCAGGCATGCGGAGCGGCGGCAACTGGCTCAATTGGGTCTTTAAGGTGATTGACTTGAAGGAAATAGAAAATCTCACAGACGAACGCGAGATCAAACAAAAGGAGCTGAGCTCATTGCAGCACCCGTAATGTTGGGTATTGCTAAGTGTCTTCCTCTACGTCGGTTATATATCCGAAGAGCTTGAATTTAAATTGTTGCGAGTGTATGCGTATGGGCCAGGGGAGGAGTTTTGAGAAACTGTAAAATGATGGCGGTCATAGTGCCATAGTAGGACCGCGAGAATGGATAATAGTGCTTTGGCAGTTGGTAATTACGCTTTCGTAAATGAAATCCTCTGGAAGACGATGTCGAGCAAGTAATAATAACCTCTAAATACGTCGAATTCGCCACCTATAGCGCGATTCGATGGGCGCTTATTCAACTTTGCACGAGGATCTTCTTTACCACAAAAGGTGTTAACAGTAATAAAACCTATTAATGATTCACTGGAGAAGGCATAGCATATCGAAGTTAATGGGTGTTTTTCTTTGAGGATTTTCCAGAGTCCGACAACCAGAGATCGGACGTTATAGTGGAGACAGGGGTTGTTACTCCTTCTTTAGGGAACAGACGCCACACTTTCGTGGCGAACAGGGATCTTGGCGGCGCCCATGCAAATGATTTGTGGTTTGCGACATCTTGAGCCTGGATTCAGGATTCGTTCTGTTCTTTGCCACCGACTAGCATGCGCATAGTTCATGACTGAGAAGGTCGTTGATAAAACTTATGAAAGTAATAATCATGGAGTTGAACACTTCCAGTCAGTAGTGATATTTGGGCCTCCAAATCCTGAAATGATGGAAGTTTATAAGGTAGGATCACCCGAAAGAAGAAATGTTCGCGATGTAAGGGGGATAATTCTCTCAAACGCGAGATGATGGCCCGCAGCGGTCGACTCTCAGGGTAAGTCATCTAGGCCAAACCTATAGTCATGGCGCCGAAGCATGTTATTTGACAAGCTCAAACAGACCGTGGTACCGCGCCCAAGTACGAATGACAAATGGATGCGGATTTGCTCTTCTGGAAGCACATGCTACATATCATTGTTTGTCACATCCTGCTTCGCAATGTCGGACTCCGACATCCGCGAGATTCCAGGGAGAATGTTAGGGTGCAATATCTAGCATGGAGAACACCAGAGAACACCAAAGAACACCTGGCGTAATGTTTCTGACAGAGCTGTGCCCCGCTGTGGTCGGCTGCCTAAACCTCTACGCTTTAAATCTCAGATCTCAGATCTCAGCCTTCACCCTTTTTTATCGTGACACGCACTTGGTCGCTTCCATTGCGGTACGTCTCTGCGTTTTACGAACTTTGCTATCATAAATTTCTTTCAATTCCTTCTAGATCTGTTTCCGCACTTCCTCTCGTCTACTTATTGCGTGAGAGATTGCCGCCGGGCCGCGTTCTAAATCAGGGTTGTTCGTCCTTCGTCGGAAACTTTCTCGTCATCGACCTTCTCCAAGCCATTCCCGCCTCCATACCCGAGAAGAAGCCACAGTGACAATTCGTGAAGCATGGCTCAAGATCAGAAGGCGTATAGTAATAGAGCGGTGACGGTATATAACGACCCCGACGGCGAAGTCAACTGTTCAAGGGAACTCCCTCATGCGTCTCTCATACAAGCTTGCAATCCCTCACATTCTGAGCCTGCTTCACAGCAGCGGGGCTGTGATGCTGAGCGAGCGCGACCTTCCCCATGTCGCGACTACCAACTACGATTTCGTCATTGTAGGAGGTGTGTTCTCCACAGCTCGCATCGCCGCAGCTGGCTTACTTATTCTCGGTTCCTCCAGGTGGCACTGCTGGGAACGTCGTCGCAAATAGGCTCACAGAGAACCCGAATTTTAACGTGCTAGTACTCGAAGCTGGTCCAAGGCAAGTGAGATTCGTTGAAATATCGAGGCACGACGTTTACCATCCGTGCTCCAGCGATGCCGGGGTTTTGGCTCTCCAAGTCCCATTCTTGTGCACTACGACCACCCCTCAAACACTCTGGGACTGGAACTACACGACGGTATCTCAGCCAGGCCTGAACGGTGCCTTAGTCGGTTACCCTCGTGGCTATGTGCTTGGTGGGACAAGTTCCGTCAGTACGTCGCGCTTATGTCCTCCAACTCGAAGGCCTCCCTCATATACGCTACCCACCAGATTGCCTGGTCTACACACGCGGCTCTAAAGCCGACTTCGACCGCTATGCGAACTTCACAGGAGACGAAGGCTGGTCATGGGACAACATGCTGCCCTATTTCAAGAAGAGCGAGAAGTTCACTCCACCGTCGGACCGCCACAACACCGCGGGACAATTTGACCCCTCAGTACATGGCTTCGACGGTCTGAACTCCGTCAGCCTGCCTGGAGCACCCACGGCCATCGACGACCGCTTCGAGGCAGCCATTGATCAGTTGGGCGGAGAGTTTACGTGGAATCTGGATACGAATTCGGGATCGCCGCTTGGCTTTGGTATGTCGGGTGCTTCCCATCCGCGCGAAAGTGTTGAAGTTAACGCCTTGCAGGATGGTCGCAGGCGGTAATCGACGGCCCGTCAGCCAGTCGCAGTAGCTCTTCGACGGGGTACCTTGCGCGAGAGTTCTTGCTTAGGCCGAATCTTCATGTTCTTGTGAACGCACAGGTGTCTCGGGTGATTAGCGAAAGGACTCGGGATGGTGTTCCGGAATTCAAGACGGTCGAGTTCCGCTTGAATGGAGGAGGTGCGTCCAATGGTTTCTCTTGCACCTTTCATTACTCACAATTGACATAGATACCCTCTTCACCGCAAGCGCTAGCAAGGAGCTCATCCTATCTGCCGGGGCGACAAATACTCCCCAAGTGCTTATGAACTCAGGAATTGGTAGTGCATCGCACCTCAGCGAGCACGGGATCCCGTCCATCGTTGACCTCCCAGATGTCGGCGAGAATCTCTTCGATCATCCTATCATCACGCTCTCCTGGCGTGTCGACTCGAACATGACGTATGATGACTACAAACGCAACTCGGCCCTCCAGGACGAGGCGCTTCAGACATGGAAAGATACTCGCCAGGGAGTTTATGCTAATGGAATCTCGCAACACATTGGATTCGTACGTGTACCAGATAACAGCAGTATCTTCGTGAATGCCACGAACCCTGCATCCGGCCCAGGTTCGCCACACTTCGAGATCTTCGTCTCAGTGAGTACCTCAGTTTTCGTATCCACTTCATCTTATTCATATTTACAGAATTTTCTTCTCGGTGCCACACCATCTGAGGGAAACTACCTCAGTATCTCGACAATCCTGCTTACCCCAGGCGACAATGCGCGAGGCTCTGTCAAGCTAAACTCGAGCGATCCATTTGCCATTCCGCTCATCGACGCTGGACTGCTCGCTGATGACGCTACCGACGTCGCGCTCATGCGCGAGGCTGTCAAAAGCGTTCTCCGTCTAGCCTCAGCTCCTGCTTGGGGCGATTACATTATCGAGGCTGCAGATTCCGCTCAGCCGGGTTTGAATGCGACGGATGCTCAGCTGGACACTTTCATCAGGACCAACACACGCTCTGCATACCACGTCGTCGGTACCTCAAGCATCACGAGGAAAGGAGCGGAAGGAGGTGTCGTCGACCCCGATTTCAAGCTCAAGAAAGCTGCGGGCTTGAGGATTGTGGATGCTTCAGTCCTGGTAAGTCTTTCTCCCGTTTCAGCTGAATAGTCGTTAAAACATTTTTTGTAGCCTTTCGTGCCAGCCGGGCACAGTCAAGCAGCGACGTACGCCTTGGCAGAAAGAGCCGCCGATTTAATCAAAGCTACACATTCTGCGTAATGGAGGCATCTGTCAGTGCACACGGGGATGTGCCGGGGTGATGTCGGTTGGTTCTCCTAGAAAAAGTGTGTACATAAAATCATTCTTTTTTAAAAGACAGACGTACATTGTCCTCTTCGCAACCTAGTCCTAGGAAACGTGTCCGCAGTAGTGCGACACCTATTCTATGAGGTTTTGACTTTCCGCCCCACACACGTGATACGTCAATTCTTATGTAATGCTCGAGCAACCAACTCCGCTCGGCATGTTTTCGGCTGGCCAGCCCATAGTGGCCTCGAAATATGCCACTCACGTCGTTCCTTCTTTCCTTCCCATCATCTCGCTGTCCCTCATTTCTCTTCCCCTCCCTACCTCAACTACCCCACCCCCCACCAGCTACCATCTCGAGTCTGGGATTCACGAATCCCCTCCTTGTTTCAATTCCTACTGTTGGCAATTCCGCCCCGTGGCCTGCTCTTGCCCCTGTCCCAAACATTGCCACTCCATCAACGTCTCGCATCGTCAATGGTAGCGGGGGGGCGAGAACTTCGATCCTGCGGCTGTCGACCTTCAAGACTTCCACTGACACCCTTAGGCATAAGGAACTCAATCGACTTTGCATTCATCATTGTATTATTTCGGGGGGAACAAATGAGGCCATTAAGGCTCGGTAAAGGCGCGACTATGAGAGTTGTCTGCGCGTTTGTGTTCGTGTAGTACTTCACTGGTGGTAATTTGTGACTGGAGTTTATAATACACTATTACATATTGCTATAGTCGAACACTTTGAGCTTTTAAACTTCAGGTCAACGGGAGTGGCTTGGTCTCTGACTCAGGCTGACTTGTGACTGGCCGTGGACGGCTTGAGTTCGGCTTGCGCCTGTGTCGAATTATATAATAAAAAGACATCACGTGCATGGGGCGGAAAGTCGCCAACTTATTCTATGCGTACGCGTGTGTCACACATCACCTGACCGTGACTACACCTACTAGATGTGGAGTGCGACCCTTACCCTTATATCAGATACAATCGACTATCATTTGTATCTATTAGGTCTGTCTAGGGAGATTAACCCTTACCATTGCGCTGGCACTGGCTCTCAGCCTTAATCTGCGCCAGGCATCTCTCTCCCACTATTGTCAGATGTTGTGAGTGACTGCTTTTCCATTCAATACGGGGAGGGCTTAATTAACTACGATTGCTCCGGGTTTTGTTGAATCTGGGCTGATTCTTTGCCCCTAGACCAGCCACAACAGACGACGAGTTCTTCCGATGCTTGTCTCCAGCGGATCTCATCAATTACGCTAAGATCCAACGTGCCGCGTATGCTGCTGTCTCCTCCTACGTCCAGAGAACCTTCGCCGTCTCGAGACTTCTCTCTCGTTTTTTCACCCCTATTGAAATTGGCAACTTCAGATATTGGCAGTCGCGGACAGGGATGTTCATTTCAGGATCCACCGCCCTTCAATTTTTCGACCGATCATTCTACCCCGACTCAGACCTCGACTTGTACGTCGAACACCGCTATCGAGTGCCGATTGTGGCGTGGCTTCTCAGTATTGGATATGTCTTTGTACCGAGGAAGGGGTTTGAGGACCAGACCGTCCAGGAAGCTCTGGCACACCAGATACCTTGCGAACATGGAGAAGAGGGTGTTTTCTTTGAGTCGAAGAGCGAGGGCTACTTCGGCCGAGGTGTTACCAATGTCTACAACTTCCACAAGTACAATCCGGACAGGAAGATCCAGTTAATCACGTCCCACCACGCGCCGTTGGAAATCATTCTCAACTTCCACTCAAGTGCGTTTTTTGAGCTCTTCAGCTTCAATGATAGACTGACATGTACTTTTGCCAGCGTGCGTCATGAACATCATTACACACGACAAAGCATACTCACTCTATCCTCGCGGCACGTTCGAGGAGCGTCGGTCGCTCATCTACTCAACGGAAGGATCCAAGCAAGAGAATGCACGCAAAAAGTACGCCGAGCGAGGTTGGACGATGGTGAAGCAGCTCGCATCCGATGAATTGAACGACCCCTCTTCTGCCTTCGCCCGCGGTGGTCGATACGTTGGCGACTCTTCATGCTGGACTATTGCCATACCGCCTCTTCTCGGCCTTGATCTCCCTCAGTCATTCATAGAAAGCAACAGCTGGGATCTCCAATACAACAACGACCGAGAGCCTGTGATGAATTTCTCTATCGTAGTGACGCACAAACTAAGGCATAGCTACCTCGTGGCTGGCAGGGCCTTGCAAGCCTACTTATGGCCCCTCCTTTCCGACGACGAGTCGCCCCAGAAGTGAGTTTGGTTCTCTCACTTGAATTCGTTCTGACCTATTGTCCATCGGGTGCTCAGAGATCGGACTGTCGACGAGGACATGAGCCTCCTGCTTCGGTGGCATCGTAGCAGTCATATGTGAATGCAAACAACCAGCTTTGGAGGTCTGACATCATACTATATTGTCCCTTCATTCCTATACACTCGGTTACACGCGAGTGTCAGTCGACTGAGAACGAAAAGTATTTAACATGTCTCTTAAACCATGATCGATCCTCATCCGTGAGGGTTTGACCTCCGCCCTGTAGGTATATTCCCGGATATCACGTGCTTCATTGTCGTCGTCACTGTCCTCTGAATCCTCCTCTGAATCCTCGTCTATCTCCTGCGTTCTTGTATCGATGAATTCCTTCAATGCCTCGATGGAGAAGGAATGACAATCGTAAAGCTTGAGGGCGTCCAGATGTCGTGCGCAATGTCGATTGTCGGAGAGCCAAGCTAGCAGCGAGTCATTGAAGCATGCCGACGACTTGATGGTCAGCTCCCTGCCTTCCCATAACTCCAGAACACCTTCAAGATCTGTCCACTCTGGAATGTGATCGAGTTTCAAATAGAGGGCATAAAATTCATCCATGGGTGGAATGTCGCATGATCGAAAAGTGATTGAGTCCGTCTGAAGGTCGCAGACGGGAAGGCATTTCGAGATAATCTTCTTGGAAACATTTTCGAAGAGAAGAGGAACATAGATAGGGGAGTAATGTTTGGCGTGGGTGGGTAGATACTCTGCATGAGTTATCTTGGGGTTTGCAATGAGCAGGTCGCGTAATGTGAGAAATTCAGGTCGGAGAGTTCGAAGGTAGTCCACAAATTCCTCGATTGTAAATCTGATTGAGGATGGGTCCATGCGTGCGGGTTGGAAAGTGTAGGTCGACACCTCGAGCCTAAGGGCCCATCCTTTGAGTTCTTTCAACGATCCTTTGAATGCCCTTCCCAAGGACATGAATGTGAATGCGTCAAGCACCAGACATTTCAGCTGACGAAAGCTTGGAAGGGGTGTAAAGAATTCGCTGATGGTCCATGGGCAGTCGACCTTAACGACAAAAGGCAGAGAAGGGATTTTTCCTCCTCCTGGAAGAAGAACCAGCTCCTGGAGACGGGTTGGATGATGCTGAAGGAAAAGAGCGGCAGGTGGGACGGAAGTCGGATATACCAGCTCGAAACGCAACAATTTGCATCGGCTGACGTGAGGAATTAAGGCCGTTGTTATTGCTTGCACTCTGGCGTATTCCAAGTTTGCAGCTTGGAGCTGAGAGTCGGAGGATTCGCGCGTTTGATCAGACACCGAGGTTCGGTTGAACACAAACACCTCGAGAGGAAGATCCCTTGACCAGAGGAAGGAGTCGAGCATCGGGGTTGGGTCAAAGCGAACGTCAAATATGGCCCTATCCCAGTTTTGAGGGAATCCTGCGAGGACGTCAAGCCAATGTCGGCATACCCTTGCGGGTGCATACGGAAAGACGGTCGGATGGCGAACGTCTTTCTCTTTCCATTCCGTCTCCCAAAGTCGTTCCGGTAGAAAGGAACCCCACGGGGAGGTTTCTCGGCGATTACTGATATATAGAAATAGAAAAATACGCGAAAGAAGTTCCACTGGGAGGTCTTCCATGACGGCCATCCTTCGACCTGGATGAGCAAGATTCGGGGCTGAAAGCCAAAACAAGGCTCGGATATACCTCGAGGGTGATAGCCAGAAGGGAATTGAAGAGAGAGAATTTATCCACAGAATGACAGTCACGAAGGTAATGAGTCTGTTGATGCAGTGATGGTTAAGGCTAAAGTCGACCGGTGCAAAATTCAAAGCGGTTCCCACGCCCCTATCACGTATGGTGGCGTAACACGGAAATTAAGTACTATGTACACGAGGGACCTTTAAAAATCTCATCTTATCTTTTCAATAACACCCACATGCTGGGAGGTCTTCACATTGTTAATTTTGGGACAGAAACGCGTATATTGCCGTCGAATTCTGGATAGGGGTGCTACGTTGTGTTTACGCGTCTGGACGCGTGACCCAATGCAGGTCACGACGTGCGGTGCTTATCTGAGATTCTGAGGGGGGTAGCCACTTGTCATCTGCTACCGCCATCGTCTTCAAGATATCTTGTCTGGATTTCCAGAACCCCTCCGACAATGCTGTAGGCTGACTTTATCTCCTGCTCAATCGTAAAACTCAATTACAAACAGACCTGCGACGACAGATGATAGCCTCCTGGACAACCTACCGGCTGCAGACCTGCTGCGTTATTCTCGGACATGTAGAGACACCTATGCGGCCGTTTCTTCTTACATTCGACGGACGTTTCGTATAGAATGCGTATTAGGGAGATACTTCTCGCCAGAGGAGATCCTTCACTTCCGCCACCTTCAAGCAGCAACGGGGATGATCATCTCAGGATCTACTGCGCTTCAGTTCTTCGACCGCTCTTTTTATCCGGACTCGGATCTGGATATATATGTTGATCATCCCAAGAGGAAGACTATTGCTCTGTGGTTGGCTGGTATTGGGTACGAGTATGACCCGAAGCAGGGGCTTGACACGCTGGACGCCGCGTTGAATCATCAACCGTGGTGGGACGAAGAGAAGTTCTCGGACAGCCACTTCCTGGAAGCAACGCCGAAGGGGTATTTTGGTGCGGTCCATGTCTTCAATTTCAAGAAATCTGGTCAGAAGATCCAACTCATCACGGCGAACCTTGCACCGATGGATATGATTCTCAACTTCCATTCAAGTGCGTGTTCTATCCATATGTAAGACCGTACAGCTTTTTGAAGCCTCGCGTAGCATGCGTCATGAATGTAATCACGCACGAAAAAGCATACAGTCTCTACCCGCGAGGAACGTTTAACGAACGACGGACCCTGCTCTACCTCCCCGAAGAGCCGAGACAAGCTAGTGCCCACGCGAAGTACGCGGCACGAGGCTGGGAGCTGGTTCCTACAATCACCGATGAGGAGTTCGACGACCCAAGTTTCGCGTTCGCACACGGGAATCGGTACTTGGGTGATGCAAAGTGCTGGACCATACCCATCCTTCCCAAGCTTGACCTCCCGGAAAGCCGAATCGAGGCTCATACATGGGCGTTGCTGTACGACACCGATCTAGAGCCGCAGATGTCGTTCATGATATTCAGGTCGCCAAAGCTGCAGCACAATTATCTTGTCGTGGATGGTGTGCTGAGGAAGCACTTGCGGAAGGTATTTCGCCCGAACCGTCGTAAGACCAAAGAGTGAGTCCTTTTGCTTCTGCATTTACTTTGACCATACACTCAATTCGCCTTAGGATTGATGCCGACGCCGAACTCCATCAGATAGTGAAGGGTTATCTTCAGTCTCAAGGACTGTAGCGCTCCGTGTAGCAATGTCGTTGTGCAGATGTAGAGAACTTTAGGTTTATGCGAGACCATTCTGTATTTTAATTAACAAGATACCCAGCTGTACATACACGCTCCTATTACTCGAAAGTAATTCTTCCGGGCTGATCAACGAAGTTTGCGACGTTGAACATTGAACCGAAACCACCACACTGTCTAAGTACTTCACGACCGGCAACCAGGTGCCAGCATTCGCCTTTCTGCCCACACGTGGATAATGTAAAGCTAAGTTTAGTTTCCAGCGTTGTTTACGAGTCTGACTTTTCCCCAGTTGCCAGGATGCCAATGATTCACGACCTTCCTATGGAGCTACTCTCACGAATTTTCTTCTTCCTCTACATGAAAAGCCGCAAAGAAGTCCGAATGATGCGTATAATTCTTGATACACCCGAGGACGACATCCTCGGAAAGACAGAATGGGCGGATAAAGACCCTCGCAGCCTAGCGCTCTTCCCCCACGCTCAAGCGAAGGTCTGCCAACACTGGCTGAACGTCCTTTCAACCCATGCAATTTTCTGGGATCGAGTCATTTTTGATCTTCGGGAAGACCCAACGCGGATGTTGGACTCCCTTCGCTGGTCGAAGGACCTGCCACTCGAGATTTTCGCATTCAACTCGTCGCCCTTCCCTAATCCCCAGCACGACAATTTCCAGGCGCAACGCGACGCAGTCGCATTGGAACTTTCTCGATTTCAGGCGTTAATGGTTGTCTGCACACCTCACATCAAGCGTTGTACATCGGTTGTGTTGGAAGCAATGTACCCTACTTCACTCTCACCTTGTTCCTTGTTCCTCCAGTCGCACTGCAAACCCTCGGATCTTTGCACATTGATGCTCACTTCAGTACGAGCTGCCAACCCCCCATCTCCTCTGGCTGCCGTCAATCCTTCATCGGACCCACCTTCGAGCCTCCCACCGCTTGTTCAATATCAATCACTCAAGCTTCTCTGCCTTGACGCCTCCGTATTCATGTCATTTGGAAGGATGTTCAAAGGACGAGAGAACGACATTGCGAGTCATCGAGGATGCCTTATGGTTTCAAGATATATCTTCCACTACGACAAGAACGGGGCCTTCGACGGGCCCTTCACAGTGGACGACTTTTTGGACTGTATTGAAAAAATGGGTCCAGAATACATCACCTTGCGCGACCTCCTCGTACAAGGACCACACGATGAGCAACCTACACTGGAACCACCCGCGTATTTCTACCCATTCTCGACCCCTGCACTCCTCTTCGAAAACGTCTCCGCGCCTCTCTTGTCAGCGTACTTCGACCGCTTCCCACTCGAGGACGAGTCAGTCAAGTTCAAATTTTGTGACATCCCAGCGGTACCAAAAGGGTGCATGGTTTGGTGCTATTTCCTCACCTTAGAAAACATTCCGGCGTCGACAGACCTTCGTGGTCTCCTTAATTCCTGGGACGGCGGAGAGCTTACAGTCAAAAATTGCCCGTGCTTCGACGACTCTTTGTTATCCTGGCTTGCCCGGGACCCCGGCCATGTGCCGCGTTTACGGAGCCTCGAGATCGAAAATTGCAATTCGTTTACGATGAAAAGACTGCGGAAACTGATTCGTCTCAGAACACGAGAACCGGACTCTAGCTCTACCTCAGAGGAGGATGGCGACTTTGCATATATCAACACGCTCTTCGTGTGCGGAGATAATTACTCCCTTACCGCAGAAGAGCTTTCCTGGTTCAAGAGCCATGTCGACGCGTGGTTCACCACATCTCAGCATTTTCTGTACATTCCCCTGTAGCTTTTCCTCCGAAAGGTTTTGTCTTCACGCACCTACCCAGAAAAAAGGAAGAAAATGACAATCAAGAGATATTCATCATTTTCATGCATCAATTTGGAGAGCTTCTGAATCACCAAGACTTCCGGGGCTTTGGACTTGTCTTGCACCGGTTAAATACTGGCAGCTTCGTTTCTTTCTTTTATAGTGAAAACCGGCTGACACTACATTTTGTCTTCCAGGTCATCCTAATACCGGTCTAAGTCTATTTTTAGCTCGCCACTTGCAAGCAACAAGCTATTAATACACGGTCTTCCCCAGTACCTTGTACTATCTGAAAGATCCATATGCTCTAGTTGACGCATTCAGTGCGCATGCGCTCAGACGTAATCCAAAGATAGAGCTCTACGATGATTTCTCGGATACAGCGAAAGTGGATCGCAATTTGGGCATCCTTGTGACCGTCTCGCCTCCATAAATACCAGGACATGAACGTAGGCAACGCGCCACCTTCCTCGTCGGGATGTATACCGTGTTTCTCCTTGTCCTCGTAGGTGCTGCACTTGCTGCACCTGCACTCCACTCTACCCATGTCCTGCACGAAAAGAGGGCAGCGGAACCCCGTGGCTGGACGTTGACCCGTCGCCTCGAGTCTGGCAAAATCCTTCCCATGCGTTTCGGTCTCGTGCAGCAGAACCTGCACAAAATCGAGGACATGCTCATGTTGGCATCTCTCCCCAGCTCTCCAAAATACGGAAAGCACTTCACTCCCCAGGAAATTGTCGACACTTTCGCCCCAAGTCGCGAGACCATCTCCGCGGTCACCGATTGGCTCGTCGAGGCAGGATTGGCCCCTGAGCGGCTTCGTCTCTCGCAGAATAAGGCTTGGATTTACGTCAACGCGACCATGTCGGAAGTCGAGAGCCTCCTGAAGGCGGAGTATCACCTCTACAGTCATTCGTCCGGAGCTGAGCAGATAGGTGACTATCTCCCCCACTTCTCCAAGCCTAAGCTGATGATCGGGTTAGGCTGCCACAACTACTCCGTACCCATTCACGTACAGAAGCACATTGATCTGATCATGCCTACGGTCCATTTCAACCATCGTCCTGCTCCTAACATCGACAAGCGCGCCGGTAGGCTTGGGCAACCTTCTCCCAGAAATGGGCCGAAACACCTCGATTTTGATGCTGCTATCGTCCCGTCGTTGGCGAACTGTAACAAGGTCATCACGTTAGATTGCCTAAGAGCGCTCTATAACATCAATTACGCACCAGTTGCGACCGACAAAAATACTTTTGGCATAGGTGAGGATAATGTTTCCCTTTTTTACCAATTTTGAAAGCTAAACAGCGATACAGTCGAATTTACACCGCAGGCCTATCTACCTGGAGATTTGGACATGTTCTTCAGGTACGTGTCTTTGGCTTAATTCTGCTAGAGTTGCCACTAAAGCACAGCTCAGAAACTTTTCTCCCAGCCTTGTCGGCGTGAGGCCGGAAACAGTCCTCATCGACGGCGCGGTCGGTCAATCTTTCTACGTTCTAGTTTTAAAAATCTTAAAATTTCTCCCAGCCGTCGTCCAAGACACTGAGCGAGGTTTCGATTTCAATGGTGAAAGCGACCTTGATTTGCAGTATGCCATGGGTCTGGTCAATCCACAGCCCGTAACGCTTCTCCAAACGGGAGAGCTTTCACAAGGTGATTTGAACTCGTAAAACTCGCTCAGTGGTCATCACTGAAAATGTGTTGTATAGGCGCAGGCTTTGATAACTGGCTCGACGCCGTCGACGGGCCGTTCTGTACCTTCGATGGAGGAGACGATCCGACGCAGGTTCGCCATCCATTACCCAATGGTCATCCCCACTTTCCTTACTGATTCGGTGCATAGGATGGAATCTATCCAGACGCTGCCGGCTGTAAGCCACTCCATCTCGATCTTATCATACTCGCATCTTCCTTGACGTCTACCTCATAGCACCTCAATCTTGCGGTATAGTTCCTCCGCCCAACGTCGTGTCCATCTCCTATGGTCAGGACGAAGCAACCGCTTCTGTTAAATACGCGACCAGGCAGTGTCAAGAATACGCGAAGGTGGTTATTCTCCCCAAGTCTCTCCGTGAAACTTAGGTCTCTCTAAATCTCTTCCTTTATACTGTAGCTCGGAATGATGGGCACGACGGTCGTCTACAGTTCGGGCGACAACGACGTGGCCGGCTTCGACAATATATGCTTGGACGCAGACCGTGAGCGCTTGAGGATTGACTTACGCCCAAATCTAAGTCTGGTGGCTGAGCTCGTTCCACAGATAACGAGACCGACATTACGACTGGGGTGTTCAATCCGGAATTCCCGGTACGTTTTCCCTGCTGGAAATGTATTGCTTCAGGGAGAGGGTCCGACGTTCTTGTGTCCAGTCGAGCTGCCCCTTCGTCACCGCTGTCGGTGCTACTCAAGTCAACCCCGGCGCGACGGTAAGCGACCCTGAGTCAGCTTGCATGCAGGTTATATTTTCAGGAGGAGGATTCTCCAATATCTTCCTGTGAGCCGCGCCACCTCTGTTCTCTCCTTACAGTTTACGAACTGGCATGTATTAAAGGATGCCCTCGTACCAAGCCAACGCCGTAAATGCCTACATTGACGCCCATCTTACTCCCTCTCCTTTCGCCCCCGGGCAGTTCAATAACTCTGGAAATGCGCGTGGATTCCCCGATGTCGCTGCTAATGGGTGGGTCGACCGTTCGTTTATTGATTGCTATTTTTGACTTCAAAATAGAGCGAACTATATCGTCGGTAAGCCAACTATGCTGGGTCTTCATCCCGAGATTTCGAGAAGCGATTCACGATTATGACAGCCGTCAATGGGCAATTCGGCCTGGTCTTCGGGACCTCCGCCTCCGCACCTGTCTTTGGATCCATCATTACGCTCATCAACGATGCTCGAATTGCCATGGGTGAAGGTCCTGTCGGGTTCATAAATCCTATCGTACGTCCAATTAGTCGACGTGGATGTGGCATAGGTTGACGTCAATTTTCTGCAGATTTATGACCCAGTCTTCGCCCCGGCCTTCAACGATATTACGACCGGAACCAATCCTGGATGCAGTACGTCGTCCGACTTTATTGGCTCATACGACAGACTGACAAATTTCGGACGCTATAGATACGACTGGGTTCTCTGCGTAAGCGTCTTGTTTATTTCTTCTGCATTATACTCACTTTATATTTCTGCTAGTACGAAGGGATGGGACCCGGTTACAGGTTGGTTGATTCCAAATTCGGCCTAGTCCCGGCGCTTAATTTTATTCTAGGTGTTGGCACGCCCAACTTCGAGCGGTTGTTGAATATTTTTAAGGATCTGCCTTAACGGACCAATTGTACTCCTTTCATATCTTCAAGCTACGGACAACTACGTAGATTGACTAAAGCATGAGTGCGATATTAAGCATTGGTAACTTCGACGACCGACCAGAGAGTGCAAGACCGGAACCTTCTATCGGGCCCAATTATCAAAGTGCCGTTTCACCCGCCGCTCCTCCGTAAGGTTCGCTATTTCCTTGGGGTTGATGACCTTGAAGATCCAGTTGAACCAATTACCACCGCTTCTCATACTCGGAAGATACATGTCTTCGAGTAGTTCATCTGCTGCTTGTGGCCATCTGTCCGTTCAACACTGTATCAGATATCGCAAACGCCAGGAAAAATAGGAGAACTCACGTCCAGAAATCATATGAACCGCTGTAACTCTCGTTCACCCATCCAAGCATGTTAGGAAACCGGGCCTTCATCCATGCCGAGCGCTCCTCCGCGAGCACGATGGCCTCCTCCATCGAGGAGGGCAGACGCATCTTGTCTCCGCGGAAGTACGACGCAATCCAGTGGGCGACAACCTCATACGTGTATCCCGGGTTGGCCGAGAACTAAGTTGACCATCAGCAAAATGCCAGGCACGAAGATGCGAACTTGGTTGCGAGACGCCGCACTTACCAAAGCGCCGGCAACTGCGAAGTCGCGCTTATGGAGGTTCTTTGCTGGCACAATTCCACGATGGATGGAGGTCACTAATGCTTCGTCTTGGTGCTCTGCACGGAGAGGCGGGCCACCTTGGAGGGACTTATAGTCCCAAGTGGTCTTTAGGTCGGTTGTAGGTAGGTGCTTGTCGATACCTATTTCTTTCGCTACCTCCGCTGAAAAAAGGAACGGTAAGCCGGTAAGTCAACAAACTTTATCGTCAGCTCGCAGAGATACATACCCCCAAATATGCGCTCCCAGGAGCTCCGATAACCCGTACACAGAACGACAGCTTTCGCCTTGATCGACGTTCCGTTGTCGATGAGAACGGACTGGCCATCCTGTGCATAGCCGGTAACATGAGCTGGTGAGACGAGTTTGATCTTTCCTGTGTTGGCGAAAGTGTGGAAGCCCTTTGCGAAAGGCACACCCTCGTCGCTCAGACGAATGCACCAGAAAACGTTGTGACGCGAGCGCAGAGGCGAGTCAATTGGCAGAGCGAAGGCATCTGCCTGATAAAATCGGATTCAGTGATCAAGGAGACGGTCGTTATGGACATGCGAAGGCTTACGGCTACGGTCTGGATTTTCTTGAAGAACCAATGGACGAATGTACTTCCGATGGAAGTTTGGTGCAGGAACCGCCTGAAAGAATCGTCAATCAAGAAGTTAAAACAAGGCGACGATGAACTTACTCCAGGCGAGTCCTGAGAACGATATGAGGGGTAAGAACGGCGATGAACCTGGGTTGGACTGATCAGAAAGTGTGTAAAGATTATTCTGACATGTTACTTACCGGCTTTGCCTTCGGAATGCGGGTAAAGGCTTGGGCCCACCTACGAAAGGCTCGACATCCGTGAATACCATCGTCACCTTGCGACCCTGGTTCGCAAGATGAGTGCAGATGCTGGTGCCAAGCATGTTCATGAGAACGCAGACATCCGTATGGAAATAACGACGGAACGAACTCTTGCGCGGACTTGCCGCCGCCAACGACTACAACCCCGTCTGCGTCCTTGCTTTCTGATATCGGTGGAACGGCAGAGAGGATGTCGCCCACTCGAGAAGCGAACTCGGTCGAGTGGACAACGATGCCTTTGTACCCTACTTCTCTGGCCGCGGTCTGGGATAGAGCCGGCGGGATAGAAGGAGTACTGCAACCCTAAAAGCATGTGGTAAGCACAAAATAAATTTAAACGAGAGAACACTCACCCCACTTGCCAGAACGATCTTCGCAAACCATACCGTCTCCTTCCCACCTGTCTCCAGATCTTCCACCAGCAGATCCCAACCTTCCTTCTCCCCGGTTCCACGAGCAACATTCCTCACTTCCGTCCGGAATTTGAACTTCGCCCTTTCATCAAGGAACTGCGCACTGAAGCGTTCCGCGTAGTCGCGCATGTCTTCTCCCGATAGACGACCGCCACCCTCTTCTGGATCTGCTGGTGGTGGCATGCTGAGCGCTGAGAAACGGTACTCGCCATGGACGCTACACCGAGGCACAGTATTCCCATCAGTTCACGACCGGAAAGTTGAAAAGGAGGTGACACTCATACTTGTTGATATGGAGCCCAGGGTAAATGCGTTCTCGCGCCCATGTTCCACCCACTGAGCGGTCTCGCGAGAGCAGTGTGACATCTGTGAAACCGTCTTCCAAAAGGATGCGCGCACAAATAAGACCTGCGACGCCAGCGCCTATGATACCTATCGGTTGCTGGAGAACAGAGGTCGAAGATTCAGGGGTCGAAGTCATGCCCGTCGTTGGCGGTGGTAGATTCGCCGTATACTGAGTACCAAAAGGCGGGAAAGAGGGCAATACATGACGGCGCAGCTTTTATATGAGATCGTCGTTCAGGGATAATGATCAGTAGAATACAAGTGGAAAATTGATCGGCTGAGGTTGGTGCTGAATGTCTCGGATGTATACGCAAGATGTCAAAAAGTCTCTTCCTGCGAGGCATAAACTTACGCATCGAAGGGCGTTCCCTTGGACGTGACAACAATCATTAGAGGGTCCATGATGATGCCATTGGAACCGGTAAAAGGTTACACAGATGAGGGGCACGACGCGTCACGAAGGTTGCTCTCAAACCGTTGAATCTCCTCTGCCGTAATGGTCGGTGGCCGTCCTTACTTCTTCCCTCCACCATCCCTTCAGGCTTCAGTGCTCTGAACGTAAAGTTCTCGTAATCACGAATGTCGAACTCGGTCATGCTAAACGCCGCAAACTCAGGCTTGAATCCCTGGCTGCGCAGTTCATGGTACCACACACCGCCTTCGGAAAGGAATCTCAGCAACCTGTCGTCGAAGCAGAAGCAATTTCGAACGCTCAGGCGTTCACCATTCCAGAAGTGGAGAGATCGAATATCCGTCGTTGCCGGGATGTTGACGGCAATGGGGTTAAAGATGAATAAGAAAGGTTTGAAGGACCCTTTCAGAACGCAGGACGTGATGGTGGCAGATTCGGTGGTTATGGAGAGGAAATTGAAGAGGGTTGACACAAGATAACCCGATAGCTTTGTCTGTGACAAAGAAGACACGTGCTTCCTGGAATACTTGGTTCTTGAGGTGATACCAGGGAGAGGTGACTCAATTCGAGCTCAGCAATGCCTCCTGTGACCACGATGTGGAAAAACGAACGTCGAGCTCGATGTAAAAACATCGTTCCGGACGGTACTCTAATTTCGCCACCATAGCCTGGATAGGGTATTTCTCGGCGACAGAAGACCAAGATGGCGAAAGATAGGTCACCCAAATATGGAAAAGTCGTCCAAGATAACGAGGGTCGATTTGTTGGCAATAAGTATCAATGGCAATGCGTGTCCAAAATTTCGGAAAACCTTCGAGAATACCCCACCAGCGCTGACAAACACGAGCAATGGCCATAGGAAATAAAGCGGGGTCCCGAAGGTCGCCTGTTATGCTGTCTCCATCGTCTTCAGATCCTGGAAGTTGAATCATGCATTTGGGGGAAAAATATTCTTCAGAAAACACACCCTGGTTGGATCCTTCATCTGCGTCCTCCTCGCCACAGTCACTGTCTGCATCCTCACTTCCGTCGTTCTGCTGAGTTTCCTCGCGGCCCTTTTTGTCATCCACGCTTTCGTTCTCGTCGTCGTCCTCATGTTGTGAGTCGGAGATAGGAGACCCATGCCCGCCGCGATCTATGGTGAGGTCATCATGAAGAATCTTGAAGATGAAGCTCAAGATTTCATTGGGTAGGTCTTCGATGGTCGTGGGTGATATCATAACAGCGGGAGGCAAGTGTTTGCATTGGTTGAAGGCAAGAAAAGGAATTCGGTGCCTTGCTTGGCGATTAGCAATTTGATCTTATCTTATCTCTCCTTCTCTTACAGGGGTCAGGACCAGTGTGCGCCACAATCCGAACGAGGACAAAGTTGCTTTAGACACTTAAAAGACAGAAAATCAACCTCAAAGTTAGTAGAACTACGAGTGAAATAGAGGGCGTCGCCAACTGAGAGCAAACGGCGACTTCGCTCATCTGAACGGAGTAGCACATACTCTCAGATTCTGTATCCAAAAGCTGACTAATTCCATTCATTATCTCCTACATAATCCGACCAAGCATTCTCGCCAGCCATGAAGCGCAAATTTCTTTAAACTCTATCATCGGATGAAAAATGTGATCAATTTAACGGCACTCGTATGACGTGGATCATTTGCAATGAAGCCCAAATTTCACTGGCAAGTGGTCCCAGAGCAGATCCATTCGCTGGGGGAGATATTTTTGCTGCTGCATCCACGGGCGACGAGCTCTTCGGCAGGACTGGTTTCGGCGATAGAATTTGGAACAGCGCGGCCACGAAGGTGGCAAAGACAGCGGCGAAATTCATGATGGTGGTCGGACTGGCTGCGAGGTTCTCGTGCGTTCAACCCGATAGTGGGGTATCCGTCGTGAAGACGCGCTTGGTTCTATACTCGTGGAGGAGGATAAGTTATGATGTCTGGACCCGCCGCCGGCCGACGACCGTGTGCCGAGCGCTACGCTTACTATCTACAAAGCATGGGCGCATGGGCGGCCGTACAGTCATGGTCCTGGGCCAAAACCGTCGAATTACTCATTGAGCCGTGTCGAGTAAAGTGTTCACACGAGAGTGCTAACATGAGATCGTATGGCCCTGCGAACTATTTATCCAGACGACAACATCTTCCTACTGGTGTTCAACACTATGCCCCTCTTCCACATACTTCGACTGAACCGGCGCTCTTTATGCCCATAGAGGAATACGTGGTGTCATACTTCGTCCACGATGCTTGGCATATGGAGTAATATGAGTGCCTGACGCCGACCAAGGAAGATAGTGTCGGATCCCGCCGCCCATACTGCATACCTGTTGACCTTGGTGTGTTTAGGAAGTGTGATGGAGAGGACGGATTTATGAAAATCCTATTTCTTGGATAAATTTCGTAATGGACTCGGAGACTGATCGACCCAGCAGTACGGCGTGAAATTCTTCTCCTCCCTTCGGGCCCCGCATTACTTATCCGGTCTGTTCGATATCGTCCGAGAGAAAGAAAGAAAAAAGGGGAAATCCGTGTACGAGGGAAATTCTACTCGATTATTGAGCGAATGGGACCCTATGGAAAGCAGTTGGCACTCTGCCTGATCCACGCGCCACGGATCGAGTCCCTTGATTTTGGGTATTGAGCGCTTGAGTACTGAATGGGCGCCTAACTACTGTCAGCGGTGCCGGCATTTTCTTTCGCTGCCGGCATCAAATTTTGATCACTTTTATGCTTGAAACATTCCGACTTCTCCAACTTAGAAGGTAGTTCCGCATTTTTTTTGTTGAGTGCGAATTGACTGTCGCAGTGCCATCGATATATGGGCCGACCCTGCTGCTGCTGGAAGAAGTACATTATACTGAAAGTCGTTATTCTGCCTTTGTCTGGAAACTACTGTATGCCCGCAAGTCGTGCATCGGTTCGCGAAATGCTAAGCCAACATCTAATCAGATTATGCAATTGATCTAATAAATTATCTGATAAGCGAGTGGTTGCATCAAGCCTCGTCTCCCAAACTTGAAATTCGTCGCGGAATATAAAGATGGCCAGAGGAGAAGAGTCCTAAATTTCTTTCTTCAAACTGTACCATGATGAGCATACTGTGGATGACAGGGACTGCTGAGGGCGAAGCAATGTAAGTTTGTCTAAGTTTGGTTCATTCTTTTCTTCTGCTGAACCACCACACAGATATTACCTTCTGGCAGCTCTTTCATCTGCATCTCTTGTGGTCCAGTGTCTCAAGATCCCCAGTTTATTTCTATCGTGAAAGCACAGCACCTTGAATGCCAATGACCAGCAAGACAGCTCAGAGACAATGCAAAAAACCCGACAACGTCCGGGATACGCATACAACATGTTCCAGGCGGCAGCATGCATCATTCTTGTCACATATTCCATTCTTTGCGTGGCAAAGGAATCAACACAGTGGTGGGGAATGTATACGGTGATGGGTGGGGTCTATGTATGCCTGATTTTCTTTCCACTCTGGTTGCGCATCTCATCAAAGGCTTTAGCTCTATTGCACTGCACTCGCTTTTATTCAACTTCTCTATGGCTCCTTCAATCGCCTGGCAAGACTTTACCGAAACCCTCAAGCTCACCTTACCCTGGTCATCCTCTCCCAGTATTCTGTCTACGCATATCGCGACCTTTACCCGCTGGCAACTTTCTCAAAGATCCCACTCGACTATGCCTCAGAGGGGAGACTGCTCTACCTCCACGTCACCATTTTGCTTGTTGTTGGTATCACGATTCCTCTGTGTCGACCTTGCTACCGCCTTCGGCCTCCTCTTCAACTCGAAGGTGGGAATGAGGTCGATAAGCAAGAAGAAATTGAGTCATTACCCTCCCTTCTCTGGACCCAGTCATCCTAGCTGCATATTGTGCACCACACTGCGTCCTCTCAGAAGACGAACTTCCAGCACTTGACCATGGTGACCAAGCGAAGGTTTTGAAGAAGAGGGTCAAAGCAGAGAAGAGAAAAGGCGAACACATTTTCTTTGTTCTCGTGCGGAGTTGGTGGACGGATCTGTTGCAACTTGCCTTACTCTTGATCGTGCATGCTGGGCTGAGCTACGTCACACCTCTGGGGATCGAGAGGGTGCTCAGGTTCATTCTCTCATCGTCGCCGAGCAACGATACTGACCGGGACTGTTCAGCTACATCGAAAAAGGTCCACAGGAAGACACGTTCCGGCTGTGGTTCTGGATTGCGGTGTTATTGGTTGGGCCTGTTGTGGCTTCACTCATTCTGCAATGGTACATCTATGTTGCAGTAAGTCACATCCTGGTGCCCTTACGGCACGATAACTGACATCGTTATCGCAGACTAGGATGGTCACTCAAATAGAAGCTGCCCTCACCCAACTTGTCTACAAACACGCCCTCAAGATGCGAGCAGGTGCCACTGCAAATTCCGGAGCTGATGAGGTATATTTTTCCCTGCATGCATGCATACCTTCCTGATCTTTCGTTCATCGCAGGAAACCACAAAGCAGAGCCTCAACATCAACAGCATACTCACGACCGATCTGTTCAATATCCGCGAAGCGAGAGATTTCCTGAACTTGGGTGTGTACATACCCCTGCACATTGGGCTGGTGATTGTGTTTCTGTATGGTGTTCTTGGTTTCAGGTTCATTCTTTTCTGCATGAATTGTTCTCTATTCTAACGTTCTTTGACAGTGCCTTCGTCGGTCTTGCGGTAATCCTCGCCATCCTACCTATGCCTGGCTACTTTGCATCCAAGATCAGAGATGTTGAAATCGTGCGGATGGGCAAGACGGATAGCAGAGTTGGAGGAGTGTCAGAAGGTGGGCGCCCAATCTTCCGCTTTCTATGTTCCACTGTGTTTTATCTACTATCTGATCTAGCATTGAATATCCTGCGGATGATAAAGCTCTTCGGATGGGAAGAGCATCACGACAAAATTGGAGAAACAATGTGAAGACGAGCTGAGTTGGGTGATGAAGAGAAGGGTGTTCGATCTATGCAAGGGATTGATGAAGTCGGTTACTCACCATCGTTTTCAGAGCTCGTGGCTGATGATACTCTCCAGTTTCTTGATACCCATCGTAACAATGGTGGCTACCTACACAACCTAGTATGTCCTTCCATTATCATCTCCTATTGAATTCATCACTGAACCGTGCCTCTAGCATTCGTACCTCCTTCTCTTGCAGGTATATGCGCCTTTGGGAACATTCTCCAACATTGCTCTTCTCTAGACGCTAATAATGCACCAACCGCTCTCTGCTTCAAAAGTTTTTAGCTCGATGGCCGTCTTCGACATGCTTAGAGGCCAGTTTCACCTAACGTTCCATACTCTTGCGCAAGTTGTCACTGGAAAGGTCTCTCTTGACAGATTGAGTGCCTTCTTGAATGAGGTCCATCTCTTTTTATGTCGTAAGATTCGTCTGCTTATATATCTTCGCAAACTCCAGACAGAACTTTTGGATCGATTCTCAAGAGCCAACAACCGTGTATCCAATACCCCTAGCGAAGGCCCTGTTACCCAAGATAGTGGCCCTGTCAAGCTTGTCCGAGGTTGGTTCGTGTGGTCAGAGTCGGACGCTGCGTCTTCGGCAGCAGCAATCTCAGAATCTTCACCTTCATCCTCCACAACCACCATATCGGAGCTTCCATTGGTGACAGATAGAGCGTTCGTCCTCAACATTGATAAGGATATCCAGTTTGAGTGTGGATCATTCACTCTCGTTGTCGGTCCTACAGGTTCTGGCAAGACTGTGTTGTTAATGGCCGTTCTCGGTATGCCGATCTGAAGGTTTTGTCATGACTCATAGGCTAATGATGTTCGCTCATCTAGACGAAATGCACCGACTGGACTCGGATGGTGAAGGATTGCAAGAAAGCAGCATCCACATATTGTTTGCCTACACCGCACAAGAGAGCTAGGTGTTGAATGACACAATCCGAGTATGTTCCTTTTCTGTCCTCCGCACCCTCATGCTGATGAACGCTTAAACAGAACAACATACTCTTTGGAGCACCTTACTCCGCTCCTCGCTATGCTCAAGTGCTGCATCAAACAGGCCTTGAGTGCGATCTTACGCTGTTCGCAGCTGGCGACCAGACCGAGGTGGGCGAGAAGGGGTTGATGTTAAGCGGAGGGCAGAAGGCGAGGGTTACACTTGCGAGGGTGGTTTACTTGGACAAGGAGGTTCTTTTGTTGGACGACGTATTGGCGGCGCTCGAGTGGGTGTTCTTGCCATATGAATATGTGATGAAAACTAATGATCTGTCAACAGCATGCATACGAGCCAGTGGGTTATAGAAAAGTGCTTTGTGGGGGAATTAATGAAAGGACAGACTGTTGTTCTCATTGTATGTTTTGTTCTTAGTTCTCGAAGAGTTGGAGGTGCTGATGCCAGCTTCTTGGCACAGACTCATAATGTGCCTATGGCGCGTACGGTGGCCACACATATCATGAAGATCGGTCAGGGCAGCAAATTCCTCAAACATGGACCCATCGACGAGGTTCTGCCTCCTTCAGAAGGTGTTTCGAATGGCGAACCGCTTCTTGTTGCCGCTGATGAAACCGTCGAGGAAGATGTAGGGAATGTGCCGTCCTCGTCGGTTGTTGCTGTTAGCAAACAAACGACCAAAAGTGGGAAGCTGGTAGTTGAGGAAGAAGTTGAGGTCAGGCATGTCAACTGGAATGCTAGTAAGTCCTAACTCATGTCCTTGGCCGGCACTTGGTTCATGAACATCTTCAGTATGACTCTTCTTCTCCAAGCTCGGAGGCCGACATTACCTGCTCTTTTTCTTGACTTTCGGTGGTGGAATTATTGGTAATGAGTTCCTCCAATCAGTGCAGACGTGGTACCTGGGCTATTGGGCTGGCCAGTATGATACTCGACCCCCAGAGGACATAAATGTCATAAGGTGTGTGCCTAGGTTCTCTTCCTTGTTCACAGGAACTAATGTTTATCTTGATAACGCAGATATCTGTCGATGTATGGGGGAATACTGACACTTTTGATGCTCATTTATTCGACTGCCTACGTTGTCTATATTTATGGAAGCTTGCAAGCATCCAGAACAATCCATTGCAAGCTCATTCGGTCAATCCTTGGGACAACTTTGAGGTGAGGATTTCCTATATCTTCTATCTACCACGTTCAAACACCTGTTAGGTGGTTGGATACCACACGGATGTCTCGCGTCATTGCACGATGCACCCAAGATATTGGTGCTGGTGCGTATATCGTTGTCTCTCTGTCTCACAGCTAATGCCCGCCATTTCAGTTGATGGGGTTATCTCTGGGATGGTGCAATGGTTGACTGAGCTGACCGTGTCCATGATTGTGAAGCTTGCCACCATCGTCATCATCATGCCTATCTTCCTTGGCCCTGGGTTATTTGTCGCGCTGTTCGGAGGCTGGTTATGTCAAGTGTACATGTCATCTCAGCTGTCTGTGAAACGCGAGATGTCGAACACGAAGGCGCCTATCCTTGCCCAGTACGTCTATCTGTGCTGTAAGGGGACAATTTGTTGATTAACCCATTCAAATCCAGTTTCGGAGCGATGATGAACGGACTCGGCAAGTGCATCATAATAACCCCATGAAATATATTTGCTGAACACCTTATCTGTAGTGTCCATATGTGTGTATCAGTCAGAAATTGCATTCATCCAGGAATCGCTTCGACAAATCGACAGGCATATGCAGGCAGCACGGACCTTCTACAACCTCAATCGCTGAGTTACTGTTCAGCTTGACATCCTCGGCTCCATTTTCACATCTGCTCTCGCTGCATACATGGTCTATTTCCAGTCCCAGTCAGCTTTGAACACTGGCTTTTCCCTCAACATGTTGAGTAAGCGCATTTATTATTGTTCTCTTTCAACAATGCTCATGTACACGAAGTTGCATTCAGTGGAATGATTCTCTACTGGGTTATGTTTTTGAACGATCTGGAAGTTCAAGGTTGGTCTTCATGGAACATTTAATTACCGTTCCTAATCTTTCGGTTTTCACCATCAGGCAATAGCCTAGAACGTATTCAGAAGTACCTCGAAATCGAGCAAGAACCCAAAAATATGCCACTAGGGAACCCTCCCGCTTACTGGCCGGCTAGCGGAGAGCTGGTTGTTGAGCATCTTTCTTCGAAGTATTCCGAGGACGGACCTGAAGTGCTTCACGATCTTTCTTTCCGCGTGAATTCTGGCGAGCATATTGGAATTGGTTGGTCTATACGTTCTTGTGAATCCTTTTCAATAGCTTAACGTCAACGTTCAGTCGGACGTACGGGGTCAGGAAAAGTTGATAGTTCTCTCCTTCCTGCCTCTTCAGCGTCTCATTCTTAATTTGTAGAGCTCTCTAACTCTCTCTTTATTATGGGCGATATTCACATCTGGAACGGTTTATTACGATGGATTAGAGACGAAGTCGATGAACCTGGATGCGCTAAGATCAAGTATCACAATCATCCCTCAAGTCGTAAGTAGTCATCGCACTTTTCGCCACATCCACTAAAGATTAGTCTTTCTGTAGCCCGAGATGCTCTGTGGATCTGTGCGACAAAATCTCGATCCATTCAACCAGTATGACGACGCACAACTCAACAACGCACTCCATGCATCGGGTCTCAGCTCAACCTCCAAAGAAGTGGGCCATTCTTTCACTCTTGATAGCATTATCTCCAGCGGCAGAGATAATCTCTCGATCAGGCAACATCAGATCCTTGCTCTTGCCAGGGCGATTGTCCGTGGCTGTAAACTATTGATTCTCGATGAAGGTGAGTTGATAGCCTGCAAAGCTTTTCAGGTCTGACTTCGGCGTCCTCTAGCCACCTCTGCGATTGGTGAATCAGGTCGTTGCTCCTGGTTGGCTGGGCTAAATGGTAGATAGATCATGAGACCAATGTGTTGATCCAGTCTATGCTTCGTCATAAGCTGGGTCCTGATGTGACCCTCCTTACGGTTGCTCATCGACTGCATACAATCATGGATGCCGACAAAATTGTGAGTCGTTGGGCTCGATGTTTTGTCAAACTTCCACACTTAATGCTACTTCTTTTAAAGATGGTCCTAGACAAAGGTCACATTGTAAGTCCTTGGTTTCTCGTTGTTTCTTTGTTGCAAACTCCAATCTATCCAGATCGAATTCGACTCACCAGAGGCATTGCTTGAAAAAGAAAACGGCTTATTCAAGAGTTTAGTGGACAATTCTGGCGATAAGGACAACCTACGCAACCTGGCTCACTGCAGTTACGGTGTCCAGATTGCGTAAATAATCCAAATGGTTCAACTGTGACCCCGTCATTTGATACTTATTCCTTATCGCAAAGGCTGAGGACACGAAAAGTCTTTCTAGCCAAAGCTCAGGTGCCGGACAACTAGATTAGTTCTCCGTCGTGCAGTGGCCAGACTTTCTTGATGCCCACCAGAACGGCTGGTGTGATGACAGCGCTGACAACTTAAATAACCATGCCACAGTAACACTGCAATGAGAAAGTTGGGCAATGGTTTTTTTTTCTCCACCGCCTTCCTTTTGGCGCAGCATCCAATTTTTGCGAAGACAGCCACCATGGTGGGATTTGTGGGTCGAAAATTCGGTCGCATCGTGATGGAAATAGAAGGATCATCTTGCTGAATTTCTATACACAATGACACTATTTACGTGGTCTGGCCTTTGCCTTGACACTGTACCATGTGTCAGCAAGCACGCATGGCATATTCAAAGGCCTCTGTGCCGCCTTCGAATAATCTGGAGAGCGAGAGTAGGTCCAATTCCGAGGATAAAATGTACCCAAGACATGCGATTATTTCCTACGCCTAGAGAGTTTCAAACCCATCGAAGCTTTCGCTCCAAACGACATCCCGTCAAGCCCAGCATCCAACATGACCCTCTTCTCGTACCCATCACGCGTCTCTCCGTCTTTGAGCGCTGCGTCGAGGTGCCAGTCGCGAAGGAGCAAGGACACGAAAGTCAATGCTTCAATGGCAGCCTACAGTTGCTACCACTTTTGTTGGTGAGTATAGGACATCTGAGTGCTCTGAGAGCCATTCAACAAGGGTGCTGCTGGAGTTCATGTTCGGCATGGGTGACTGTCGTGAAAGAAACGAAAATCAGCGCCCAGGACACACGGATTGACACACCGCACTGTCTCACTGGCAAAGTGCGAAGGCCCAAATATAGGAACTTGTGGGCGTCACTGCGGGAATTTCGCAGAAATGGCCTGGCCGGTAATCTTTTTGATGGGAGTACTCAGCCTGGGAGGACGATAAGAGTGGTCTCACCGGTTCAATGATTTTTCTTGCAAGATCCCTTCGTTTTCCGGAAATTCATTCTGGCGTACCTGAGGCAGCGGGGAGATGTAGGTCGTTAATCATAACTTGATCTAGTGAGCATAAAGACACTAAATAAGGCACCAGCTAGAGCAATTACAGGTGATGAAGTCAAGAAAATATCGAGAATACAGATTCTCTCGTGCCAATCTCCGCGCCGACGGCAGATGATTCTTGAACCTAGGCAATATCGCCAGTTTCAACTTTCATAGTCTAGGACAGAGGTACTGAAGTGGTCTCCTTCATCTTGTAAAGAACACGCAGGTTTCTGACAGGACGACCCACTCACCTATGAGCGATGAAGTAGCCTTGATGAACAAGTGAAACGCGGTGGAGTAACCTGATACTAAGGGCACACTCTGCGACACTTCTCCAGATTGAAATCTTCGTAAATCGTGGACTCTACCCACAAGGGCATCGGAATTACTGGACCACCTGTCGATCGCGAAGGGCTGAGATCGAGCCCCTAATTACCAGGATCAGATCTAAGTCCGAGATAAAGATTAGATTATATTCCTGATTCCATCACGTTAATCACGGACCATCACAGGAACTTCAAGTTCAACACTCGCGTCCACATTGTCAGCCATGAACTCGGCGCGAACAGAGATAAATGACCTCCCAAACGATGTCCTTTCATCAATATTTGACCTCATCTATGAAAGGAGTCGAATTTCGGTCGAGAGATGCGTCACAGTAGCGGAGGACGATGGCGAGAGGGAAGGCAAGCAACGTCGCGTCTTCTTGCTCTCATTTCACTCTAAAACGAAAGCAGTATCTCAAGTATTCGGCGACTGGCCAAATGCCGATCTCAAGAACCCTACTCTCTTTCCGATGTCTGTCGCCGCCGTATGCCAACCATGGCGCGACCTCCTCAGGAGCACCTCAAAATACTGGACGAGGATAGCCATCGACGTCGGCGCGTCAAAGAATGCCACACTACCCTCAGACGCGTTCTCATGGTAGAAGGATCTCAACGGGCTCCCCGTTCTCGTGTTCAACAGCGCGGAGTGGAGTTTGGGCAGCGGAGATGTCGCAGAGGAGAAACAATGCGTCGAGACGCTGACGACGGCCCTTCTTCCACATTTGAAGAGGTGCAAGAGAGTAGAGTACGCTCTGAAGCACGCGACTTCGCTGCCTCACTTCGCGGACATCGTCTCCCAGAGCCCGACGAACCTCGCGGCAATCAGGTTGGAAGCTCGTTGGCAAGATGGACGCGACGTGCACGGCATAACCCTCGGTCTTGCTCTCGACAGTGCGCCATTGAACACCCTTCACGAAATATCCATCACCGTCCCTATGTTCATGTCTCTGCGAGGTTACTCGTTCCTCAAAGTCATATCGGAAGCACGCGACCTCGAGCTATCCTTCACTGGCCACTCATTTCGCTATCCTACGGAAGCCTTTTCCATCGACGACTTCTTCGAGGCTCTGCACTTCCTTCGGACGATCCACCATCTCAAGTTCACCGACGTCTCTTTTCATCTTGTTGATAATGAATCCTGGTCCAAATCCTACAGAAGAAGGGGCGATTATCGAAATCTCTCAGTGGAAACCCTCTCGCTCGAACGCATCCAAGCGCCTTTCACCGCTGCTTTCTTCACCTACCTCGACTCCGACGTCACCTCGGCTATATTTACAATGTGCGAGCCACCCGACTGGATTTTCAACAGGGAGATCCTGATACACAAATTGCATCTGGTCAATTTACCCGCATGGACGGACCCCGCGGTGTTTCTCTACATGTGGACCGGTGTCGAGCTTCATGTACAGAACTGCTCCTCGTTCAACAACAATACCTTACATTGGCTGGCGCAGAAGAACGATCCCGGGGCAGTCAACCTCAGGACGCTATCTCTGGAGGACTGCAGTAACATCATGTATTCGGGGCTGAGCCATTGGATCGAGCAAAGGATCAAGGCGTACGAGGCACAACCGAACGACTCGGGTGGTTGGAAACGGCCACCCGTTTTCTGTCAGCGCCTTCGAAGATTTGACCTAGTGGGTGACGTCGTGCGGCTATCGGATTGGGAGAAGGGGTGGCTGCGGGAAAATGTCGGAGAAGTCAACATCCAGTATTACTCAGATGAATCGGAGGATTTGGAGGAATCGGAAGACTCGGAAGACTCAGAGGAGTGGGATGACTTTGAAGAATGAAATCGTTAGGCGCCTTTTAGTCTGCGTCTGGTGGCCCTAGTCGCTTGTTCCGCAATGCGAAAAATATAGTACATTTACATAATTCATTCAACTGTTATTACTGCTCTCGTGTTTCGCCTTGAAATTATTGTAACATATTCAAGCTGAGGGAGATTGGATTTCAACCCCCTTAGCTGCGTGCCTTCGACTGGAATACACTACTTTGTCTTCATCGGACATTTCCTTTCTCAGTTGCAGGGTATCTTCTTCGTCTGCTCTGATAATCTCATCCGCTTCCCTGGACATGGATGAACTTCTGTGTAATTTGTCAGAAAGAGTAAAAGACTGACTCGAGTCCAGTCGAAATAGCGTTCTTGACATAGACACCGAGGAATGGGATAATCCGCATACCGGGCTTGACGGCTCGTAGGTCTTCCTGTGTGGTTGGCGTAATATTGACGGTCGTGAGGTGCACGGCGGAGAGATAGAAGAACTGGATTATAACTGTGGGGTGCTCGGCGGACTTTCTCTGCAACCAGAGCTTTCGAAGAGACGAGGACGGGGAATCGGGATCCAACCCAGCATCGTTCGCAGTCGCACCACAGATAAGGGAGAGGAACAACCGCCCCAGCATCTTTTTTGATGAGTGTACACGGAACTTGTTGGCGATTTTGCACGGTTCGAAGTAAACAATAAGTTGTGCGACCCGCATCTTGTCGAGATCGGGCGGTCCATCTGCTTCGAATTCTTCGCGATAGAGTTTGGCGACGTCGCGTTCGATGAACCTCATAATCTCGCGATTTTGCGTGAGACGCGCCGTCATACGAACAACGCGGGCAAAGTCTGAATATTTTCGCAGACTGGCTTATGCCGGGGCCTTGGAAAATGGGATGAGTAGTAGACCCTTCAAGGGCAAAGTGGGGCGTACCAATCCGCGGCTTGACACTACGGCGTTAGGTGCTCAGATTTGGAGAATGAAGGTTTCTATTACCTGCGAACTGACCTCTCTTGTCACTGAGCAATAAAAACAACTTTTACACCATCGATACACGCTAGTTCTGTGGTGAACGATAAAGACGCACCCTGCCGCACTTCTGCAATTTGAACCCCTCCGTTTTACCATCGTCGACCCGCATGCAAGTGCTGCACCCGGAATCATTGCGGGGGCGTGAATCGCTTTCAAGGGAGTTCATCGTTATGTCGCAAACTTAGACGCAGTCAACTTGACAAACACAGGGGCGTGAGAATATACTTCGGCATTGAGCGGGACCGCTTCAGTTCAGCTTCGGTACCTCAGTATCAACAACCAACACGGTTGCATGCTGTCAGGCGTCTGCCTAGCGCGTAGCATCCGTTTACGACGTCTATTTACCTCTTTATCTGGTCAACCCAATTTCTGCTTCCAATCTTCCGCTTTCGAACGGATGAACATGCAACCAACTCCCTCACAATCTGCGCACGGAGACCAAAGGAACGAGTCACAGAGAGGCGGGAAAGGACGAGGGAAATGGAGGTCAGGATGGAAGGGCCGTGGTAGGGCTGTCGCTGGGGGGATGCGAGGCGATTTGGCTGCTGAGGGTACAACAGCGACATCCCCAAAGCAACAATATCCATCGAAGGCACCGCGTCTGCGGCCTACACATTGTAAGTTTCGGTTCATACTTTTGGGAAGGAACACGTTTAATTCATGTCTACAGTCCTCGCTCTGCCACTCGTACGTTTTCCATCGACCTTGTCACGAAGGTTTTGGCCTCAGAGCCCTGCCGTCCTAGCACGACCACCCTGAGCTCCGAGCGCGAATATCAACATTTCAGTCGGCTTTATTCGCCACCGCCGATGTTCAGCCGCCTCCTCAGTCCACGACGACCAACACCACTCAAAGCTCCGGCACGACCAAGCCGAAAGGAAAGGCGAAAGCACGAATTTCAAGCATCGTCCAAGGCCTCGACAGTTCGATCGTCATCGATCCCGTACGGATGCATACGACTCTAGGGGTGATGGCCCTGGAGCTGGAGGCGGACGAGGAGAAAGAAGATGCGAAGAATGTGACAGCTCAACCTACAAGTTCGCCTGGGGATAGCATGCCACAATCCTCAGGATCTCCAGCAGCCACACAAGAGGCCATGACTTCCTCTAATCCATCCTCGGCGACGAACCCTTCAGCACCATTATCACGGAGGCGGGCTCTTCAACGTCTCCTGAACAGCCGGAAGATAAGCGCGAACGAAAGACGGTGGCAACTGCACTCGCCCTCCTCCGATCCCTTCAACCCGAGATACGCGAGATCCTCGACGGCGCACCCAGTGTCAAAGTTCCACTCGAGGTGATGGACGTCCTCAAGACCGAGAGGATGCGCGTTCCGAAGCCAAACGCTCGCCCAAGTGGAGACAGCGGCCAGCCAGCACAGGTACAAAGCGAAGAGGAAGAGAGCAAGGTTGGGGCTGGAGTACTCTTTCTTGGCCCGAAAAAACTCGATTGTGGAGTTGTGGACGAGAAGAGGATGAAGTTGGAGGCCGTCTGTGGTACGCTCTCCAACATATTTATTGATTTCCAAACTAACACGACCTTCGTTTTCGGTAGATCTGATTCATCGAACATTCAAGGAGGCTGAGTATATAACGGATACACGACCTTTGAAGGTACATTCTTTCTTCTCGCGAGGTATTCTCTTGTCGATACCCATCTAACATGTTTACCTGCCTGTAGCTACATTGCACGATCCTCAACGCGAGCCATCGCAAGCCAATACGACGAATGCCCTTCTGCTACTCCGATATCCTGTCGTCCGGTGCCTGCGACTTAATTCGGGCACCAGACACTCTTCCGGCTGAGCAATTATCCACATCAGCGACGATCAAGGCAGAATCAGCACCGGAGGAGGGGCAGAGCTCGGGGTTGGAGGATATAATCGTGGACGATCCCACACCTACGGCCACCCGTCCACAGGATAAGCCCTGCTCTGTTGGCCCTGATACCCGCGAAACACGACCTTCCAAACCTCGACGTGTACCCCTCGTCATACCGCCTCCACTCCCGATCAATTTGGGTACATATGACGTGCGCGAAGTTCAGCTTTGGGTGATGGGCAGTCGTGGTCCGGATGGAGGCTATGTGAGCCTGGGCGGCGTCTCGTTGGGAGAGACGTCGAGCGATAAGAGGGCGATGATGTGACTGGTATGTCCATGTCTTCTAAGATCGTTGTTGGACCGTGATGCTCATCCTTCCCGATAGGCCAAACAATATTAAGTTTGACCTGTATCCTGGCCAAGATCTGGGCAATTATTCTGGGATGACTACTCGTATGAACGGGAAATGATTCGAATAACAGATGATTTGGTTGAAAGATCGTGTACGATACATTCGGAAAATGATCTCACGTTTCTCTTTATACTGAACTGCGCATAGGAACCCCATTTCTTGCCCGATGCGATTACAAATTCACCTTTCCGACAGGGATTGGCTTCTCTGCCATCGCGCAGAGGCGGAAGATATGGCGAGGAGCGGCACCATGTTCTTCATCGATGTAATCAACGATGGCGGAATCTGTGTCGAACCACAGGTTCAGTATCTCTGAGACACGGTCGAAGACTCGAAGAACTTACGCAATGTATTTCGATTATCGAACATGACCACCGTATTCGGCTGCCAACGCACTCTTACCTGGAAGTCGTGGCCCATGATGATATGCTGAGGAGGAACTCCATGATGGTCTTCGTCTCGCCCTCTTTCAGCCCGTGGATGCGCGTAATAAACTCGCCGTTGATGAAGAGGCATTTCTCTCCAGTGACGGGATGAACGCGTACGAGGGGGTGGGCAGTTGCGACGGGGTCTTTGCGAACGAGACCTTTGGCGAGGCGAGTGTGGTTGATCATGTTCGCCGAGGAGTGGGTCGCGACTAGGTCATCGAGGAAGACTTGAAGCTTCGGCGAGAGACGTCTGAGGTAAAGATTAGCTCAACACAATGTCCTTTCGAATGGATTTTTACTTACTTGTAGGCAGTGTCGGTGGCGGCGAAGACGGTATCTCCGCCTACCTCTGGTCCTTGAAGGAGGCCCAGCATGACGTACCCAGGAGGCTGGATCTCATAGCTGACATCCTGGTGCCATAGCGTCGTGGTCGACTTATGCTGTAAAAACCGCGCGATCTCTTCCTTGTTCCCATTTCGATGGATGATGTGGAACCCCGGGAAGCCGCGCACGGTTCCCGACACGGGCTGGTAGTTGGGCTTGCCGAAGTACTTCATGAACTCTTGCTGGAAGGCCGGACCGGCGTCGAGGAAGGCGCTTTGGTTCGGGAACGCGACGACCTTGCGCTCCGCAATGAGCAGCGCGAGCTCGTCCTTGCCCGTGTTGGTCAAGTTGCAGAGGTCGATACCTTCGACAATGCTTCCTAGCCCTGGCTGGATGGGTGAGACCTTGACATTCGGGGTGACGAGGTTGGGCTTCGTCTTGTCCTTGACCCGAAGAGCGGGGTCGGAGAACTCGAACGGTGGAAGAGGGTCGAACCAGATGGGATCCCAGGCGGGTAGATAGGGGGGATATGGCGTGGCCTCGCTCGTTTCGTTGGACAGAGAGACGTACGGGATGTTAATGTCGTAGCTGAGAACTGGATCTTTCTCTGTTTCAGAGACGGCAGACTTGGCGGCGTTTTTGTTGATAAGGGTGGTGGTAGTAGTCGACATGTTTCGAGAGCTTGATGACGAAGGAGTTGGGGGTACCCTTTTTTTTCAGCTGTAATAAATACCAAAGGTCTCCAGCGCACCCATCCCATGAACCTCCTTGCTATTTCTGCCGAATGTGGGATATTCTGGATATCCTGCTACCTTCGGTGCGCGATTTGTAATCTGATCTCGGATTTTATCATTGAATTGAACTTCTTTTTCCTAGAAATTCCACCTCCTCTTCAAAGGCGGGGTGAAACCCCACGTCATCTGGCATTGTACGCAAGCTCGGGTGTCAGGGATTCGGCGACTCCCACCAACAGTCAAGCAATATCAGTCCGGCGGCGCATGAAAAGGCAGTGCCCTTTCCTAAACGGGGTTATGCGAGGGATGATTGCGGCGCGCTTTTCCCGGGCGGCGCATGCTTTGTCATATCTTCTGATACAACAAGTTGAGCTCTATAAAGTGCTCCAGCTCGACGCAACCCCAAAAACATCCTGTTTCTTCCTTGTTACGGTCTCCAGACTAGACTAGACTTGCAATGGAAAACCGCGGTACCGTGCTTATCGTAGGTAGGATCCTTTGCAGCTCTTTGGCGTCACTGTCTAACTTCAATGGTTTTATGTCCATCAGGTGCCAATCGCGGAGTGGGGTTTGAACTTGGAAGCAAGCTTCTCCAAAGCGGATATCTCGTCTACGGGACCCATCGCCCAGAGACGAAGGGCGACCCTTCAGTATCCCAGGTACGGACCGTTTCTCGAATTCTGCGGACTGTATCCTCAACCCCATTTTGCGTAGATGATTCAACAGGGGATCAAGTCGTTGGAGATGGATTTTACTGACGAGGAATCCATCATCGCTGCATCGAAGCACTTCTCAGATCAGCCGCTCGACGTTCTTATCAATTGCGCTGGTGAGCCTCGCCACGAGTTACTTCCATGGAGTTTTGGATAACAGGACGCCAATCATTCAATTCCAGGGGTGTACTATCCTTGGGATGACAAACCCTTCACAGAGTTAACTGCTGATGACCTCATTTCACACTTCAAAGTCAACACTGTGGTTTGTAGCGATATTTTGCCTTTCCTACGAGGTCATACGCAACTGATGACTTTCCTAGGGACCATTCCTGACGTCGAAGCATTTTCTTTCAGCACTGGCCCACAGTAAGGCAGGAAAGATCATCAATATATCCTCCGATCTTGCTAGCATCGCCGGTACGTCTCATAAGACCTCGGGGTGTAGTGACTCCGTTCGCTTACTCGGATGTTCAACAATTCACGTATCAGATAACACGGGAGGCAATGCTTGCTACCGCATCTCGAAGTGCGCGCTCAATCAGTTGACGAAGAACGCGGCCATGGATCTGGAGAAGATTGCTCCAAATGTGAAGATAATTGCAGTGCATCCAGGCTACGTACCGACGAAGATGACGGGGTACGTGGGTGAAGATGACATGGTAAAATGTATTCAGGGTTTGGGAGAGATTGTAGAGAGGTTTGGAACGCCCGGGGAGGAGAAGCTGCCCAACGGCGGATATGTGAGGTGGAGTGGGGAAATTATGCGATACTGATGCATATGACACTACGCCGGTGGGGAGCAGGGTAATTCTCAGTATGTTGTACCCTTCTGTAGCATGTTCTATACGATAGAAGAGCATAAAATTTCGTGTATATGGGATGGTTGACGAAAGATCGAAGGTGGCAAAATGACTCGAAAGACAGCCTAATTAATGTTAAAATTAGGTACCCCAAGCCTTTCTGATAGCAACTCTGACAGCGCGTAGTTCGTAGTATGCGAAAACGGGGAGGCCCATCGACATATATCGCACTTCTTGCTTCTCCCAATACAGCTGGATGACCCACAAAAGCATCGTCCACTGCACAATCCGAGTGACTAACCCCACTGCTGCCACGACCTTCCAGACAGCATATTTTCTTCGACCAACAATGCTGTCCAGGACACATCGGTACAGCAAGTAACTTACATCCTCCACTGTGTCTCCAAGTACAACTCCCGGAAACCAGAAGGGAACCATGCAAATGGCCCCAGCCCGCATCCCCTCTGATGGAAAAATGAATGGAAGGTTGAGAAATGGGACGGCGATTAGGTGATGGACGAGGAGGAAGGGGTCGAAGCGATACGTTGCATCGAAGATGTACATGGAGGCATGAATTGCCCTGTTGTTAGAAATATTGAGCATAATCCCAGGTACAAGAAGCCGAAGGATCTCACACGCAGTTACCCCAGGCTCTCCATTCTTCGTCGCCCCATTGGTATTGTAATGGGAAATGGGTGATAAGCACTCTCCCATTCCAGAGCAGAAGTACCTTCGCAACAAATAGTGCTATTATGGCATGCAAATTTTGCTGGGTGCGTTCGGAAGCTTGGTGGGGTGCGACGCAGTCGAAAAATCTCGCTAGGAAGGTCACAAAGAAGAAATTCAAGATAAGGACCTCAAGCATATTCTTGCTCTGACGATCGGGGAGTAATTGGAGGCCAATATGCTTGAAGAACCCTTATGTATTGCAACGCCGCGAATGAAACGCGTTCGCTCTATCCACCCTCAGCCGCCACGACCCCCGGCGATTCTAAATCCAGTGCTCACTTGAAGAGAAGCGAATACATCCCATCAACGTCGTACAATTGATGCGATGACTATCCATTTCCCATGGATTATAACAGAACAACGTTGGGCGCTTGATCGAGAAACCTTGAGCGTTTCATGATGACTACCGTGAACGGCATCCTTCGCGCTGGTGAACTGTGTACACTTCCTGGGTTCTTGCAGTTGGCCAGACATACCGTCGGGGAAGTTGAATCCTGGATCCTCTTCGTGTATAAATTACGGGTATCTCGTAGAGCCCTGAATCCTTGAGAGCATCTTATCTTATCTTGCAACCGATCTCCGATCCTGTGAGTAATTTGAACTTCCTTCTTCGCCATAACATAAGCCTTCCCTTGCTTCTGCAGAAAACCTCGTATCATTGATGGCCTTAACGACCGTATTTCTAATTCTCAAGATCCTCTGCCTCGTTCACACCCTTGCTACGCTACATACATTCTAGTGTCCCGCTTCAGCAGGACAGGAGGGGTTATTCAACAAGTAAGGGTGTCCCCGATCCATACATTCGTTGACAACCTCCTGCTCTCCGTCTTGATCCTTCAACGTGGGGCTCCCGTCGGCCGACTCTCATCTTTCATGCAAGGATGGATATCTTCTCCTCGCTATCCACTTGTTACCGCCCGCGACATTTCCCAGTCTAACCAGTAACCCTCACTTGGTGCACTACCTCTTTGGCTAAGACTATGTATGGGCGGGCTATTGGTGGCATTTTGAGGCCGAATGATGGCGCTAGCTGGTTGGGCTGAGTCACTTTAACGCTCGACCGGTTCGCTTTGGACTCGTGCGAGTGAATCTTCCAAGTCGATGCACGCTCGGAATTGCTATTGGATGTCCTCACTATACGAACGAAGTTCAAGCATCTAGTCAGCCTGTTCACCGTGCTCAGGTCCAGCATGCGATGGATCATACAGTGACGTGGGTCTCGGAGAATGACGAGTGGGAAGGTTATCGACGGAAGTGAGGATGCCGGTCTAAAATGAACCTCACCACGTCCACTTCTTTCAGAGGAAATTGCCTTCCTTGCCTCGAAACCCTGCTCTCGGGTGCTTGCCTCAGGCTGGGGTGGAAGTTGCTTGCACCACTTGCGTGCACGCGTGGCGACGCGTTCTGTCTGTTTATATGAAGTTCTTAAGCTTTTATCGGATCGAATCGAGGAAGCCTTGGACTTAAAGAGGACTCAGACACCCTGAACCGTCTCAATTTCCCGTTTTGTCCCGGACACATAGGGGGCAGCACCAGCATGTAACGTGAATAGTGTACTAGGCCACGGCTTCTTCGCCACCGACACGGACAACGCAAAATTCCTGCTGTCACGTAAGCTACCCTTCAGGTGATATAAGAAGTGGGGGCCGGCAGGCAAAGACGATCCAACTACTCATATACGCACCATGAAATCGAAATTCTTCCATCCCCTCACTCTCCTCTTGGCGGCTGCATCTGCTGTGTTCGGTGCGCCCCAGAACATCGACCCTATTGAATACTTTAAACTTTTGTATCTATGCGAGGACGGCGGGCCTAATACCGTAAGTCTTCTCCTCATCCTCTTCCTTTGGCAGTGCCATACCCAGTGATACATTTCTATCTTGACAGTATGTCGCCGTCCGCTATCAAGGAAACCAGTACACTACGTTCGAGTACAACCAGTGCTACCCGTACGAAATATCCGGAAATCTGGCGGAGATGGCGGTCTTCTGCAAGTCTGCGACCTGCTACAATAATCCGTACGTCAAAATACTCTTTCTCGCTTCCGCTTCCTTACTGTTGACGTTTATCAGAGATCCGGACTGTACAGGTGGAGCAGTGCCGCCTGTCCCCGTGCCGGTACCTGCATTAACGACGCTTGTGAATGCGGCCGACTGGGTGCAGCTTCTTGGGCAAGGCGCGACCTGTCAGAAAAATGGCCTACCTTGATACTATTTCGGCTGAAGGAAGGAGTGGATGGGGAGGTCGAATGGGAATCTTCAGCAGGGAATTTCATACTTCGGTCGACACTGAATAATAATTGGAAGGGTTTCAGGCTTCCTGTGTGCGAGTGAGTTGAATAAGCCAAAATTTGCCGTAGAGTCCACCGGCGCTTAGTCGTGAGAAGATTGGCTTTCATACAGCGGCCTCCCGGACCGGCACACAACCCTGCTCTCCTCACGACAAAAAGGTTCGACAGACGTTCGAAGTCCCGGCGATGACAGCGGCGAGTGCCAATGTTACGCTCCCGGACACGCACTACCACGTCGCTATTAAATATTCAATGCTTAAACATCCACGCATGCATATTGTTCAACAAGACGAAGTCATTCGAAATTACTTGAGGAGAGCGGCGAATACGAATGCAGAGGGAACAAAAATGAACCGCGCGACAAGGATCCGGGCCATTGAGAAGGACAGGGTCGAGACTCGAGAGGCAAGAGACGAAGTTTCCGGGCGAGCTTTCGCACTTCGAATTTCGAAGCGAATATAAAACTGTGCGACCACCGCAAGCAAGTTATTATATGCGAATGCAATTCACTTCGAGAGTGTTTGCTCCGTTCAGTACTGTACGTAACCGGTTACTCGGTCACACCAACAACTCGGTCATCGCCTTTGTGGACAGCACAGTTGCTCGTTTCACTCAATTCTTTTTGCATAATCAGGTACAATTGTACAAGAGCAACGGAATTCCATTTTTTCATGAATAGATAATCTTTCCTCGTGGAGAAATGAGCCTCTCTTTGGCTGTTGTGATGCGTGACACCCAATTTCCTTATTTGAAAACCTGTTTCTGGTGGTTCCGGAGGGCTTTTCTCAACGACATGACTGGCTGCTGGAAAAATACTTTGGAACTAAGGAGTAGATCATAATTAATGTATAATCAAGTTATTTTATCTCGTGTGGACGGATTCCTGCACTTTCAATATTGAAAATTAGAAGGAAGATCATTTTAGAGGTGGGTTGGACTGTCCCGGGTGATTTATATTGTGACGAAGCCTCTAGGGGATGAATTGAGGCATCAAAAGAATAGTGCCCCAGATAGGTGCCTAGGAAAGAAGTCTCTTTAATTTTTGCAAATTTCTTTCGAGCATGAGACACAAAGTAAAGAGAAAACCTCGTTTTGAGTGATAAGAAATGTCAAATCAAATACTTCAAGGGAAGTTGCAAGGTATCATGAAATAAGGGGACCAGATAATGATAGAGGTGTCTGAATTTCATTGGAAGCTTTTTTTCCCGTAGGTCAGACCAACTTTGAAGAACAATTCAAGGTGGCCGAGTACTGTCCTCGTATTCCGACACTATCTTATCATCAGCTTACTAAGCACAGTTGACCCTGGTTACAGCCGGTGTACGGGACCAATACAAATCGGTCTAGTCTCGGGGCCTGACCGACTTCCTGGTTTTGACCGATTTTGACCTATCAGAATAAAATATTCATGGAGGCCTCAAACCTTCCCGTAAATTTCTGATAACTGGTGAACAGGTACTTCAGATGCTTGCCTATTGAGTAGTACTGCTATTTTATTCGAAACCCCCAAACCCAGCGAGCAATTTTTAGGCGACTGTAGAGTGACCGAGATGCCGGTCATCTACAGTAAGTGCTTCGAGCATAAAATGTCAGATAGCCCGAGTTATCTGGAGACAAACTTGAAGGTGGGACTATGTAGATTTTTGCACGGAGGTTATGCGTTTATCCTCAGCAGAGTGCCCATTAAAGTGAGGCACTGAATTAGCTCGTAGTGCTATAGCGCTAGTCCCTAGTCCCACGTCAGAAAATTAAATCTCCCCGCATTACACGGCGCATCAAAGTCTCTATAGTGCCCCTATACATAGTCTGAACGCCGACACGACAACTGACAGAAGGCATGCCGAAATAGCGATGTCAACTTGAATTCAAACGAACTCCTGACACTCTCTTCTTCCATCATATACGGTTGGGCCCGGTACACCAATACAGTCGTCTAAAGACCACCGCTCCAACGGGAAGAAGACGGGGCATAAAGAACTCCATCTCGACCATCGCTCCTTCCTTTCTCCTCCACGATTTGTGCTTTGAAGACGGGGTGAAATTCTTATTCTGTGACGGCAGGGCTCATCCTGACGTACGTTTCCCCAAAATCTTTCACTATGAGGACGTATCTAACTCACCTCAGGCGTTCATTTCCCAGTGTCTCTTCGCGATCGACCAACTAGCTTACTTGCTCTCTGAATTCAAATCCATGGCGCCGGCAGCGACGTTTACCCTCACGCCGACGGCCAACCAGACCGTCCCAAGCGCCCTGGCGCCAATGGCATTTCTCGAACCCGCAATAGCCATCCAGGTGATGAACGGGACATATATGCACATGGGAGTTTTAGCAGTGAGTGCTTCGCCTCACGTCCCGCCTTCTCTGTTCTCCCTCTCCAACCCCCATGGTAATTGATTGGCGGCGGCACATTGCAGGTAATGATTTGGGATTTGCTCCATAATGCATGGAACGACTACATTCTGAGCACAAAGCATCGATTCCGCCTCGCCACGGGGGTGTATTTCTTTTCGAGGTGTGTGTGCTAGCTTCGCGCTTTCACTGCTGCTTGAAATCCGTTAACTCAAATAATCCTTGTCAAGGCTCACTGTCCTCGTGTATGCCCTGGGGCGAGCCGTATTACTCAGTAGGCCCTCCTTCCCATGATTTCAATCGGTCTCCTCACTACGTCTTTTCCAGCCCTGCCAATCGAAAATTGCCGCGGTCTAGAGCTTGCTATCGCGTCCTTCCTTACAATCACTCTCTGCCTCAACACCTTCCTATTCTACGTCCGCATCTGTGCCGTCTTCTTCAACTACACCTCCATCGTTATCTCCTTCGGCCTCTTTTGGTCTGCCACGATCGGCATGGCATGCATTGTCCCAACCTCGATGAGCGCTTCTCATATCGGGCCGACGCGCTACTGCTTAGAGCAGATGCGGACTCACCACCTGGTCCCGACGTATATTGTGTTTTTCTTGTTCGACACACTCGTGTTTGTGGGAACATCATATCGCTTTTACGTGCTGTTTCGCCACGAAGAGGAGGAGGGCTCGATAAAAAGAGAACTGAGGATTGTTTTCCTCGGAGCGTCAATGCCTGCGTTCTCGAAGGCGATGCTGCACGAGAACCAGCTGTATTATCTGTGAGTATCTTCATATGGCCTCCTCATTTAATTCTCCCTTGTTCAAACGAATCGGGTCGGATTATAGGGGAGTCCCACTAGTCAAACTCGGCATCATCATCGGTGCACTCTGCTTCAAGGACGGAACGCCAGGCCTCGTCTTCGTCTCAAACCTCGTGCCGGTGCATGTCGTGCTCGCGAACGTGGTCACTTGCCGCGTGTTCAGAAACACCAAGCTAGGGCTCGTACGTGAGCCGATGAACTCCGATGTCTTCATGCAGACCTCGAAAGGAAGCTGGCATGTAGCGGAGGCGGGATCTAGGGAGACCGTAGAGAAGGAGGGTGTGGATGGGTGTATAAAGCCCGTCGACCTGCTGACAGTTCGCAAGGAAATCGCAACAATCACTGTGACATGTTGAGAGGGAAAGGGAGGCGTTCAGGCTAGGTCAACTGTTGTTTTCCGGTTGAGTTACGGGTAAATAATAATATAACATAACGTACGAAATAGTGTGGAGACCTACCTTCTCATCAATATTTTTCGATTCGTTTATGAAAAACTTACAGGAAGAAGGTGTTGGGAGGAGCCAAGTCGGAGAAGCAGGAAAGACTTGCCGGCCCGAATCAGGGGGGATCCTTATGTCAGCTCTGCGGCAGGATCGTGCCGAGGCATTCTCGTTTGTTGCCTCTCGCTCTCACGCGTCGAACGACGGCCTCCTCGTCTTCATCTGACGTCGTATCTCATGCGGTGAGTCTACGACCAAATACGTGCCAATATAGCTCGTCTGAATCCCCTTACCTCACTAATAGCCTTTTCATGGCGTACCTCCTACAGCAGTCTACCTCAACAGAACTTGTACGTCTCATTTCATGTTTCGATTTCAACTTTCGTATGAAAGCCTGGTTCATGGACACCCTCATGAATCCTGGGCTGATCCGTTCTTGAGCAGGATATTTGCTTAATGGCGCATCGGATAACAGGAACTTGTGCCCTTATGAAAAGGCAGCGAAAACGGTAGCTGGGATGAACAATCTTTACAACATCGGTAAGTACGTCTTTCTCGTTGATGACCGCCTTTTAACAACGTATGAATTATCTATAGCGAGTACCGTTTCCTTCTCGCCTCTACGATAGAGAAATACATCAGATTTCTCCCTGAGAGTAGTAGTGAGCCTTTCTCCATCTGCCATCCCTCGTGTTTTCTATTTCTCTCTCCTCGAAAGATGGAACTACACCGACGCGCAACGGTAACAAAAGAGTGAAAAAAATACGAATACAGACCAGGAAGGAGAGTCTTTTAACCGTAGTATCCTGGCGTATCCGCGTGAATGGCGCTTTATACCATCTGTTGCCCGTCAATCGTGATGCTGTGGCGATCCTTCGATGCTCTGGTTCTAGCCTTTCTCGCGCGTGGTGCACCCATTCGAGGCGAAGTTCAGGATTTCGGCTCTCCGAATCCTTTGCGACGATTGGCACACTACTGACTATCTTGGATGCCTTTCCTGGGGTCTGGGATGTCGGCCCATTGCCGCTTTCGTTTTCTATGTGGACGAGCGGAGCGTCTATGCGAACAACTGGATAAAATTTGCTTATTCTCGGCGTCCTATTTCATTGTTTTCGGGAGGGGAGGGTACGTCGTGGTAAAGGATCTCAGATGAAGGCACCGTTCCGTTGTCTGTGCTATCTTATTTTTTTTGGGACCACTGCTCGCTCAAGTTCCAGCCCGGTCGCGTTTCATCCTGCTCATGGTCTTATCCCCACATGCAGCGCTCCCATTGAAGAAAAGACCGCTTTCGCTAAAGGCTCGAAACGCTTCAGAGTTGTCCGTTTCATGCGGCAAAGTCCTCGCCGAAAGTTAAATAATTGAATATCAAAGCATGGATAAGTCAAATTCGGCACCTAAGTCAAATTCGGCACCTCTATTAAATTGTACGTTTAACCGTCCATGTGTACCGTTGATGAGCGCTAGAATGATGCTCACTATTTTTAGTTTATCGCAGACGACTCTCGGGAAGCAAGATACATTCTCTCCGACAAGAAATACTAGTATGCCTACTCGGAAGCAACGAAGGGCCCGGAAGTCAAGTCTCGAGGTCGCTGTCAAGGTATGAGATATACATGTGGTGCGCTTTCGATTATTCGAGCATACGGGTCTGAATCGAAATGCCCTGCAAGCGTCTGCATAGGACTATGTGGCCATATCTATCAGCTGGACAACTGAACATCCGCCTCCTGGAGAGTACCATGCGTAAATTCGTCAAGCGACCGCACTGCTCCTCGTTATCTCGCTCGGGCTCGACGGATAGGCCGGTTGGGCAGACAGGTCGCATATAAAAGAGTCCTTGTTCACTTGTTGACTCCCCAGCCCGAGAGTACTTCGACGCCCGCCGATCGCTCAAACCTCCCCCTTTGACCACCATGAAGTTGACCACCTTCATCGCCACCATCCTCCTCGCTGCCCTCAGCGTCAACGCTGCTCCGGCTCCTGATGCGTCCAACCAGGATCTCGCTGCACGGGCCTGCACCTGCAAGCCGATCGGGAACGGCGAATACCTTTGTATCGGCTCGAGCTGCCCTTGAAGGACGAATCTACACAAGTGAGTCTCAAATTATCTGCAGAGGGTTTGTCGTTGAACTAACGTGCCCAGAATTACAAGGTAGATTACTCCGTTCGCGCCTTCGGATAGGATAGGTCAGAGGATTGGGGAAGGTGACAAGCAGAGAGGGCGATACGGAAGGAATGAAATACATATATGCTTTGTTCTTGGTGGTTGTATCCGCGGAAATAAGTTCAATGGATTGGCTTCACACTCACTTCACGCACGAGTCCGCCTCAAGACGAGGATGAGAAATTGTGCGGGAAAAAAATTGCAATTTCTAGCTGAAAGAGGGCGCCAAACAACCCTGAACCGCGCCCCACATCGGCGAACCAGGGCACTTACCACCGTATGCTGCATGTACTCCCTATTCTTCTTTGCTACATGGCATCGATATCATGCATTCAAATAAACGAGAGATACTACATACAAAGCTATAACGACCTCAGCGTGGAATGGAGAAATGATACATTGGGACTGATCAGGCTTCGACACGCTCCGTACCCCGACTCGCCATCCATGTTTCCGGGCCCTGCAAAGTTCTCGTCAGTCATTGAAGACATGAGGTAACAATTAAACCGGCCCTCACCTTCCGGTTGTTGATTCGCTGGTACTTTATTCTTCTCGTGAACCACTCCAGCGCCGTTGCTCCTGTCTCGTAGTTCTTCTCGGGCGTCTTCGCAACCGCCTCAGCGATGAGAGGGCTATCCTCGACGAGGGCGCGGAGGACGACCGAGTTCCCAGGTCTCGTGAAGTAAACAAGTGACCAACGTTCGAGACCGGCCTGAGATCCTGGTGGTGGACTTCGAGGACATAAGCACGCGGAGACGTGGTCGAGAAAGGACTTACAGGACCCGATGGAGGTTGGAACGTAGGATTCCTCCGCTGAAGATGGCCAGTGCATCTCCGACGTTGCAGATGGCATGGCCAGGTATTGGCTGAGAACACGGAATGTAAAGATGTGATTGGACATGCCAGGAAACTTACAGACCTTCACGTATTGCCAGCTGTCGGATCCTGGAACGAGAACCTGAAGTCCGCCTAGGCGGTTATGGAGGAAGGACTGTATCAAACAGTGAACCTCAGGCGGGGAGGAGTTATCTAATTCGAAAGGAACGTACGAGCGACCCGAAGTCGGTGTGGCTCCCGATCACTTGCTTCGTCGTATTCATTGTCGGCGCGTTCCTCGTAATCCTCGTTTCGCTCCCACTGAACTCCTCCATCTTGTGCCGCTCCATCAGCGATCCAAGAGGTAGTCCGAGCTTCTCGTTGAAGATCTCCAGGAGGCAATTATTGATCTCTAACGACTTGCGCACGAAAGGGCCAACGGTGGACTCCATGCGGGCGTTGGCGGTGCGAGGGTACGCACGACGGGCCTGCTTGGGCCAGGCGAGAGCGTCGTCTTTGGCGACGTTCAGGAATTCGACGGTGTCAGGTTCGCCGCTGGCGTCGACTGCGTTCACTCCCGCCGCCTTGTACCTGTATATGACCAGCCGAGTTAGACGAATCGAGGTGGGATGTAAGGCGGTTGAGGCGTACCCAAACGACTGGCCATCGTCTCCTTGTTCAAACTTCATCCTTTCTTCGAGAGGAAGTGCAATCGTCTCCGCTCCTAGATCAAACATTCCTGCCACAAGCTCGTCTGCGCCATGGTTCTTGAGACTGAACAATAAACGACCATTAAGTCGTCGACCTCGTGATACGGAAGATAGACACTGCTCGTCACTCACTACCAGAACCCTAATTTCGTCGCAGCATCCCACAAGCGCCCAATCTCCATCGTATCCCCATTCTTGAGCAACTCGTAGTCGATGACGAGCAGCGGGTGTGTAGGGGTATTGTCAGGAAACGCCGGGATAGCAGGCACTGGCATCGTACGTTGTCCAAGTGTCGTTATCGACGTGGGTTGAAAGATATTCCTGGGCGGCGCAGCAAGTTATAAATATCCCCAACACTGTATCCCCACCAAACCCGTTGCATAACGAGAAGCGGTGGTGAGACTTCGACGGTCATGGGTGCGTCATCTGATCCTGTAGAAGAAGAACGGGCTCCATACAAGCGCAGTCAGCAGGAATAGAATAGGCAGGGATGTGGCATTGTCCGGCGAGGAAGACGGTGCCGCGGTTGTCAGAGTAGGTCTGGTCAGCTATTCGAGGAGGGTGGTTGGAACGAGAGAAGGAAGGTGCCGAGGGCAACGGATGATTTTTTCCACGGTGCGGCGTGAGTGGCTTAGCTCAACGTTCGGCAGAGAGAGAAACTGGTACTTCAACTGGCCCGATGTCCCGGTCATATAAATGGTTCTGCATTAATCATTTTTACCCACTTGCTACCCGGCGATGGTTCTATTCTTAAAAGCAAACTCGTCGGGACACTTTACCGGGATGGAGCCCTACATAACTAGGTGTCGAATATTGAAGGATAGGCTTTCGGGATCATGAATTGATGAGTTCAGAGTCTTGTGCTTCATGTTACAGAGGTTTGACAGTTTTCGAATAAAGATTCCCAAAGCTTTTTAGCGCCCGACGGTCGGTCTCGGGCCGTCCATCCCGTAGCCTATACACCCGCCGTTGTGCGCCTATGATCTTCTGACAGTCTGACAGTACAACTAGCGCTCAAATTGCGTGGCCACCGGAAGGGATACGAAGGTGGAAGGACGTACAAATGGTTGTAGCAGGTGCCCGATTTGCAAATGAGAATTATCTGCGCAGGCTGGCCGTCGACCTTCGAGGGGATGCACTTTTTAAACTCATGTGCGTAGCAGTTGTCGGCGCCTGCGTACTGAATGGCACACACCACTTAATAGAACAAAGTAGACGTCCAAGCTCTAGGGCACTATTTGTGGATGATCAGCACACAAAAATCTGGAGGCATAGCGGCAACTGATTTACGCCCGACTCTCGTCGAGCAGGCCAAAAATGTGCATTGCGCGCGAAGTAGGTTGCATATGCGCCTTTTTCCGGTGATGACGCTGGTAAATGTCACTGTCGGGGATAATAGAGAGAGACAGCGCAGCCTGGGAGACAACGTTGAGAAGACATCTATCACAAAATGTAAGACAAGGAAGACGATGACGAAACGCATCTAATCGCCTAGAGTCCAGAACAAAAAATAAGAACGAATGAAAGACCAACGGAACATCGAGCTCCGATATAGGAAGTGGGGAGCGTGCGTTAAGACAGGCGGTAATGGCGAGTCTCTAGACAATGTCATAGGCTTTCCATCCAGTTCGAAATGGGTGTCACATTGGGCGAAAGGGCTACGTTAGCGTATGGCGGGAGTTCCGCTATGTGTTCACGGAGCCAAGGGTGCCGCTCGACGGCGCTCGTCATGCAGTTGGAGAAAGACATAAAGGACAGGCGTGGTCGGCGTGTGAGAATCATTACGTCAGCCGCCCCGGCATGACTCGGCACATTTCCTCTTGCCCTCGCTGCACATCGTTCTCTCATCTCGCGGTCTCGTCGTTACGGTCCTTTCCCCAATTGTTCTACATATGCGCGTAAGGTGAGTAGATATAAATTTTCTTCCTCTTACATCCTTTTTCTCTGTTTAGTCGCTTCGTGTAGGCGATCTTCGACTGCAAGGGTGCACGACTCGCGCTGCCGCCTCTCAGCCCACCTTGGGTTGAATCGACCAGCGGTTGGGGCGCTCAGAACCCGTTTCTTCTGCCCAAATTTTCCCTGGCCCCGATCTCAACGATGAATGCAACGTCTACGTGTAGAAGTTTCGTTGGATTGTCTAAGGAGTGTCTTTCGAAGCGGAGAGATGAATATTTGGATGAGATGGGTTACCGGTACGTCTTATATGCTGCTGTACCGTCATTCGTCAGCGCGATATACTGACTCGGTTCAGGTCTGCAAAATCTCCGCCCCCGGCAGACTTATGAGGATCCTCACTGACCCCTCTCCTCCCTTCCTCTGGCTCCTGCGAAGCATTGGGGGCCAAGATGGACCTGGGGATAGGAAGGTGCGCCTATAACTTGTGTCGACTGGCACGCGGGAATCGTCGAATCTTTTGGATCCTGGGACACCCGTATAGTTTTTCCCGGGCGTTCCCTTCGTCGTCGCCCATTTACCGTTACAGTGCCCAGGACCGCTTCCTCCCACCATCTTTTTCTTCTTACCTCGGAATTTCCTCTTCTCTTCCGTTCGGGTGGTGGGCTTCTCCCTGGCCTTCATTATACGAACACTTCTGCGAGCGCCAACACGCATATATGCGCCTCGTTGCATCCATTTTCAGATCGCCTAGATGGGTAGCGGCTGCGGGCGGCAGGGTCTGTGCAGTTCCCGGATTCGAGCACGACGGAGCAGGCGTTGTACTCGTCCATGGTCGGTCGATCTTCCGTCTCGTTGCACGACTCATCGCCCGCTGCCATTCTGTCACCCGCCTGATATGAGTGGCCTCAGTTCTATCTTTTCTTGATTTAGATTTAAGCCGTTGTGTTTCTCGCTTTTAGAGACCGACCACACAAAACGATGTGGTTCTGATTCACGAGGGTTCTGTCTGTTTGTGGTGCCGGTTTCCTCCTCCCTTGTCTGCCGACATAAGTACTAAGGCAGCGGTGTTTGTGACGTATTGGGCTCTTGGAAATTTCACTTTGAGTATCCAGTTGGCAATCCACTCACAACAAGGACCAACGTGTTTTTCTTGCTGGTAGTGCTTTTCCAGGTGCCAACACGAGTCTTTCGACGATCTGTCTGTGATCATGTGCTAGCACCTGTTGGGCCTCAGGCAGAAAAGTTCTACCCTATTTTTACCCTATTTTCTGGGCTGTTTGGTGGGTTCCTCCGCAAGGCATTCTTCCCGCGGTTCCTCTTCCAACCTGGTCTATTAGGCTTGGAAAACACCGAAATAAGTGGTGTTTAATTCCATGCCGTTATCGCGAAGGTTTGTGACTCCATTTATCTCAACTCTTGCTTGGCTTCCAAAGTGCTTTGCTCAGGTTCGGGGCAGGTCCTTGGATCAGCGGCCATGGACTTGCGCTATTCAGCCCAACATTGACGGCTCGTTCCTCATTCTGGCTTTCTTTGCCGTACGGCAACTTCAAGATTGGTCTCGCTCTCCTGCAACTCCATCCCTAGCGCTGATCACTGCGTGAACGGTCATCCTGGCCTTCTCGAGTGTCACCCGTCCAGGGTGCGTGTAGAACTATACCACCATATTCTGAGGCGCGGTCCCAGAGCCCTCGGCGCGCCCATATAGAGGGATCCAGCGAGAGAGGAATCGTTGGAGTGATGAAATGAAGTACGAGAAGCCTTGGTATTGGCTTTGGGGAAGAAACGGACAATATGTGCATTGCGATGAGCGAAGACCTGAGTTTCGACCTCCGGCCACCCAAAGTCTGTTCTCAACGCTCTACTTGTGCTGGATCCAGCCAGCTTCCCCTTTGGTTCTATTCTTGGACCTTCATGATCGCCACGACGAGAAACCAAGATTTGCGCTGTTTCTCTTCTTCCCACACTTGACTTTGACAGATCGCGGTACCTCTACTAAACACCTCGTCCACCTTCTCAGCGCCCACTTGTCCTGAATACATGGTACGCTTCGTCTTCTGGCTCCTTGGCCTGGCAACGAAGGGAAATCACCCAAGCGGCCGTGGCAATCCTATCTTCCTAGATTAAACTCTGCCGTGCCGCGTAGTTGACGAGAAGTACGCGGTGCATATTCGAGGGGACCGGTGGCAGTTTCGCAGCCATCGTCGCCTTGAACCCCAGTTCCCATCGTTCGCGGAATAGGTTCATCCTCATATTCGTCATCGCCCATGCTTCTTATCAACGGCTTTTCTGGGCGTCTATTTGACATCAGCGCAGCCTGACATTCGCACTGCACATCGCGTGGGGTGCCCGAAGTGGCATGGTCTCCCGAGTCATACAACCTATACAGAAGATTCGAAGTCTGGCTTTGCTCACGGCTGGCAGCCATGCGCCTTGCACTTAAAACCACTTTGAATGTTTTGGTTCCTCCATTCATGAAATGATTATCATTCTCACACTTCTCTATTTCTCCTGCCACTTCCCTCTCGGTGTCCATTCCTTACCAACCTCGCTTCCATCTCCCGCCCCACAGCTCAACGACTCTTGCACTCTCCATACTCGACAAGATATTCCGGATCTGGCCTTTTGCAGAGCATGTCCAGATATGCGGTCGGTTTGGGACATCGTCTGGAGCTGCCTTAGCACAACATTTATCTGCACTTGGGCTGCTGTCCACCCAAATGTTCCCAATGAAGACGCGTCGTGGTGGATGCTTGTGAAACGGCGCATCAAATTGATGATCTGGTCGTTCCTGCTGCCCGAGCTATATGTCTGGTGGGCGTTCAGACAGAGAACAGCCGCACGGCTGGCAACACAGTATTTTCAAAGTACGATCCATCAGTCCTCCATTATTTTGTACGTATTCTAAATGATCGCGTTGCGCTGCACCCCCAGAAAAAGGCTGTCCCTGGTGGACGATGACGCACGGGTTCTTACTCGCGATGGGCGGCTTTCGCCATCATCTTAGCGTCGAGGAACTCCAAGAGATTTGTGACCAGCTAGATCGCCAATACGTTCCTTCTACTGGCCCTCACAGAGAGGATCCCAATGTTCTACATCTTTCTACAATGAAGGTCCTCATAGCTGCAAAGAAAATTCAATTTCCGAGGTTGACTCAAGCTGACATTGAAGACAAGAGCAAAGCCGACGGACTCACGAAAGCTATCGCCATCCTCCAGACCACATGGTTCCTGGCGCAGTGCGTCGCTCGCATAACAAAGCAGCTCCAACTAGCAGAGGTCGAGGTGGTCACTTTAGCGCTCGCCAGTCTCAATGCCGTGGTCTACATCCTTTGGTGGGAGAAACCAATGGATGTCCGGCGACCCTTCTATATCTATCCCGATGGCGCTGTCGGGCTTCCTCCCCTCAGAGAGGCCACTCCCGGGACTGTTACCGAATACTCTGTGTGTGATGGTTTTGATGAATTAACGTATAAATTTACACTCATCTCTCCAACAATTTAGCCCATTTCGACTGCACCTCGCATGCCTCAAACGACGAATGTAATGCGGATCTGGAAAAGCATAGTTTCGATTCCCCGAAGCGGGGTCTGGAGACAAATAGTGGCGGGCATTGTCTTGGTAGTAAGACCACTAGCCTCAGATGAGATGTCCCCTATTGTCGAACTCCTCACGCGACAAGGAGACTATAGAACGGGATATATCAGACGGAAGGGCGAACATGAAGGCAGACCCTATCTCCTGATTGCTTTCGAGATGTTTGGAGGGCTTCACTGCATTCCGTGGAATTATCCTTTCCAAGCAGAGTTTCTCCAGCTCGTGTGGAGGATGATGTCGATCATCCTCATCGTCAATCCAGCGTTGACTGCTGTCTCACTGTTGGCATTCATACTATGCCCTGTAAGACCAGGAGAGATACTCGCTGAGCGGTGCTTCTTCCGCAACATCCTTCTCTCTGTTGCCACAAAGACCCTACAATTTTCAATGGCATCTTATATCATAGCGCGCGCAGAGCTCTTTGTCGTGGTGATTTTCCTCATGCTATACTTGCCTGATTCAGCCTTTCTTGCTGTCGAGTGGATGCATTTCCTCCCTCACATTTAGTTATATTTTCCGGTTGGTTTAATGTACAGCGTTTCAAAACACTTTTGTGCTTGGATTTTGATCCTCGATGTCTCTGGGTTCTTTTCCCCATTTCTTGTGATTCTGCACGTTGAAATTACATGGGGTGTTCATTTCCCGCAGGCCTGCCTACACATTACATATGGCCGTTGTGCTCCGCGGAGGAAAAATGGCTGCACTCGAGTTTCGACGATTTTCTTATGCTAATACCGACCTATGAGACCATTCATGTAGCTCGAATATGAGGTGGTTTAGACGGGATAGTGCACACTTGCCAATGGATATGTTATGGAATTTGGTCACAACTTCGCTTTCTCACTGGGCAGCTGACGCTCCTAAAAAACCCGCATCGGAATAACACTGATATCGACGGTATCTTGTATGCACCGTAAACTACCGCCTGTTTTAGCCTTGTTTTAACCTACAATACAACCGGAGTATTAGGGGTTTCAGGCACCGAAAAAAAGTGGAAACACATGGCAAAAACCCCAAATTTCGGCGCCTATTGCAGATTTTTTCGTGGCAGTCAGGCAGGCATTTTGGGCGCCTACACCCTGCTGCTATTTTCATCGGTCTCATAGGCAGTCATAGTCCTGGAGCTCAAAGCAGTTGTATTTGTAGTTAAATATTACATCTGTACATAGTATCTGAGGCTCCCCACTGACTGCTGAGTTCCGTCGCACCCGTGTCGAGCTCGCGGCGAACCGCTCTATTCATCAAAGGCCTGGGGAAAGCGGGGCACATGACGAGTGATTTATTGAACGGGACAACGATTAATTCATACCTAGCAGCTGTGGATGACGTAACTGGTGTTTCTGAGCTTGAGAAAGGTCTGGATGACGTCGGGTCAGCATTTGTGTACAGCGAGAAGCAGCGGAATGAAACATACTATCGCTAGGGATTCCACATTTGCCACGACTATGGTTGATAAGGAATCAGTGTGGCGAGAGTCAATTGAAGGCATAGATGTACCGGACAAGCCAGTACGTAGGCCGTCGTGATCCTCTGCTCGCAGTGGCTCTATGGAGCACTGGCAGTCCCTATAGAGCTCTTAATAACCGGGGGTCCTCCTGCGATCTTCCAATGCGAATGAGACTGAAACCCAGCGCCCCTCACCAAGTGTAATGGGAGCGTGAGCACGCACTAGATGTTGGTACAAATTACTGATCAAATCAGTACCAACACAAGGGGGCGACAGAGGGTGCGTACCTTGACACCTCCTTCGTCAACGACGTAGACGCCAAGTTTCAGGCTGTGGTGCAGGTTAGCAATATTTGCGATGTCGAACCAAGCACACGAACAGATTTTGAATCCTGTAGACGTGTCAACAAAATGCACTCTCAAAAGTCGATGAGCTCAGGAACAATGTACCTGCCTCACAAGAGCCACCCATGGTATCATTTGCTCCTTCTTGCAACTGGTCTTTGCAGGAATAACACTGTGAGTGAGTACATAACAGCAAAACCAAAGGTGAGCTTACCTTCACCTGGCGCTGTCTATAACCACCTTCACTTTCGATGTGGTTTCTATACCACGCATATGCCCTACAGCTTCAGGAGCCATCCCTGCCAGTTGTGCATATGCCGATGATGCCGCGCTGAAAGTTAGAGAGGGCTGGTACTCAAGAGTAGCTTCAACTTGCCAGAGATGGGGCCACAGTGGACAAGTCATGGATGAGTAGACTCCAGGCCATAGAAATCCAAAATATGAGCATAAATGAACACATATATTGAATAAGAGGCCATACTTACAGCACCAGTATCACTTCTAGACATGCTCAGGCTCCAGCAGCGATCTGATTCATGATCAGCCAGATCAGAGGGCGGAATTAGTTTGTTCGGGTATTCCATCTAGTTTTGAGGTAGTTATATGGCCATCTGTGCCCACAGATAGAAGATCAGGCATGGGGAGGGGGTGGTTGGGGTGCAAGCTGCAGAGGACACGTTGCGGCTCAAAAGGGGACGCATACTGTTGAATGACAGTAAGTCGGTATGAGTTCGGATGGATAAAGGCCAAGGCTGTAAGATACACGGAATGTAGAATAAGTGAAGAAATCAATGAATGAATCCAAAAGCCAAGTCCTAGGCGAGACACGTCACAGATCATGTGATCATGCAGTCACCGTAACCAACATCGCATTGTAGCCAACCTCTCCCTCCTACATCTCCCCCTCACTTTAAAAATCAACCATCCCTGGTTGTCAACCACCCGGTCTCCAAAACACTCAAACCTCCTCCAACTCCGTCACCTTCACTACCTTCCTGCCACGAGGGTAATAAGGAATCAACCGAAACGCAGCATACTTCAACTTCGACACAGCCCCATTCAGCTCGGCGAGGCGATACGAACCACCTTCAGAGCGCCTGATGACGACCATGGGACCATAATAGCGAGGTTTACCCTTTCAGCCAACATCAGGTTCGATTTTCTTGTTCAACACCAGCACGAACTCCCCAGGCTGAAAGTCGTAGTCGATCAAGACGTTCTCGTGTCGCTTTTTGAACTTGGCAGCTGAAGCAAAGCGAGCCTTCAAAACACATTTCTGCATGGCTGTGATGTCGTCGTCTCGCCGTTCAAGCTGTCGTCCACACATAGCAAGCAACTCGACCTCGGTGATGAAGGATTTCATTGGTGGTAGAAGGAACATCGCATGGGTGATGTCGAACGGTAAGAGAGGTTCCACTCCATGCACTGCATAGTAAGGTGAAAACCCTGTAGATTTCCTTGTCATAATGCGCTCTGCCCAGAAGACATATGGCAGGCGTTCGTGCCACTTTCGAATATCACTGTCACCGGATTTGATGAGTGCGCTGCAGACTGGCTGGTGAGCAGCCTCGACAGTGCCATTCACCCTCGAGTTGTAACCTGAAATCTGAATGTGGCTGACATTGTACTTCCCCTCTAGCCACACCAATGCCTTGACGAAAGGAGTCCCATTGTCCATCACCATCTCCAACACTGACCCCCACCTCATCATGATCTTCTCCAACAAAAACCTTCCTATCGCCTTATGGTTCTCTTTCCTCAACATCTCAAACTCCGGCCAACCCAACAAGTTATCGTGTGCTTGGACGACATATTTGTAGCCTCCGGACTTCAGCAGATGCATTGTGTCGATGTGACATTTTTGGAACAATCCCGGCGGACTTATCACGGTAGGTGGGAGCAACACAGCTTGCTGCGACATTAATTGACACTCGTGGCATGTATCCAGAAACCACTTGATGTCTGCATCCATAGTTGGCCAGTAGAAGCGTGTCGCTACCTGTTGTCTCGTTGGATAGAAGCACTTGTGGCCGAGTTCATCATGAGCCGTCTAGCACTGGTTCAAATGAGTTCAAATAGCACAACACGATGCCGTCCGTCGCGTTCTCGGTACCATAGTCGGCCTCCAGCCAAGAAGAAACATGAAGCTCTCTTGAAGAATTTGCATAGGCCTTTGGCATCCAAGCCCGCAGGCGGTTTCAGCGTCGACAAATACTTTTCCACCTTCCGTAAGTCTTCGTCCTTCTTTCTCCCAACATCATTCACCGGCAGCTCCCCTTCATCAGTCGCCTCCACGCACTTCCTCCCATAAGCCAGAACCAAACCCTTCGCCCCAATTCTCTTGTTTCCCACTTTAAACACCCCCGACTCCAAGCTCGAAGCCACCCACACACCACACATCAAAATTTCCTCCACCCACTCGTCAGCGCTCTCGCCCTCATTCTCGACGCAGTCATCATCATCCGCTCCTCTTCTTCTTGATAACCCATCAGGTCCTCTGAAAAATTTCCCCAGAACGTGGACAAGTTTGAAGTTGAACATCAAAATGATGCCAATAATGTAAATCTTGACAGCGTGCAGTGAACGGAACAAGCCATAGAGCTCGATTTTTGCCTGTGAGTACTTCGCCTCACATTCATTCAGTGTCATTGAACG